GATTTCTAAACAAGTCACAACTGTTTGACTATCGATAATTGGTAGATCATTACATGAAACCTCAAAAAAGCTAAAAGATGTATGCCTACTCATTATTTTTAATTTTTTTTACCTTTGCCACCCTCGGCATTTTGATCTTTCCATCACTTGTTGTCTCCATGTTGAATGATGCTAATCTGTCCCGTTAATTTTGAAATAATAAATCTTCTCTCTGTATGCTTAGTTTGTTATAATACTGTTATCTTTCATAGAAAAATCGTAAGGCGAATGTTCCGTATACCGATTAAGCCCTCAGTGCTTCTGTGACGATAGGCCTCAAATTATCCAATTACGTCTGGTGTATACATAAGCACCTATAATTGAACGTTCTGTGTCTTTTTGTTTAATGTTAATAAAATGATCACACTATATAATACATATTGTGGAGCCTATAAATGTCCCCTTTTTAAAAGGTATCATGTAAGTCAGGGTTCCCCAACGGGCCTTCCATAAAGTTAAAGTAGTTGACGCTATTTTGGATTTTTTTTTAAACTCTCTCCTTCCCCGTCACAAACTATCACAAATTCCAGGACACCCCACCCCCCCCCCCTTTTTTCTTTTTAAATACGTCACACTTTCAAAGTAAAAAAACAATTATATACAAAATTAACAACTAATTACAATTTAATCTAAAACACACTAACTATTAAATGTACAAAAGTGAAATCTTCTGTCAGAATACATCTATCACAATAGAAAGTTAAATGTCACTGTCAATTTCAGGTTTTATTTGTATTATTACAAAATTTATATAATTTGTGACGTCACACAAGATCTTTAAACCTCCACCCATCACAACTATCAGACTTTTTAGACACCCCACCCCTCCCCCAAAACCACGGAGCGTGACGTTATTTATGGACTGCCCCAGGGCCCACGGACAACTGTTGCAGTAATTCAGTCCTGATTGGATTAGATCATTAGAGAGATTGCTACGGCATTGGCTGTTCTCTTAATAAGTCGAGGACGCTACTGACCCAGGTCGCCTAGATGGTAGAAACAAGCACTGACCACAGAAATGATATGAGAAGTCATTGTGAGTTTACTGTCACTGAAGAAGCTAAGTGCTCATACAGTGATGGACAAGGTGATCTTAGAAGCACTAACTTTTATTGATGCGCTCGCAACCTTCCGGGGGCGTCCATTAATTACGTCGACAGAATAGGGGCGGGGGTGGAAATATATGACAGTTGTTGACAAGGGGGAAAGAGGGGGTTTAGATTAGTTGACGTCAACAATCATGTTTTTTTTTATATGAAAATGTTAATCTTAAAAATTGACAGGTTCTTACATTATTTTAAACAGTTTAATGAGTCAAAATAGTCATATAAGTTTAGGCTTTTAACAATATAAGATTTATGTATTGTATGTCTGTCTGTGCACTGCATATGGCTGGTCAGAATGCTAGCACACTTTGTTACTGCAAGAGAAGTTAAAAGTTGGCATCTCTTCACCTGTCATTTTTCTATTGCTCCGCTCCCTAGAATGATTAACACATCATTGTACATGGTGTTCAATTTTTTTTATAAAAACACCAATTCATCGGTGTTAAACAACTATACCAACTCCAAAACAGAGAGCTTATGGCAATTAATGCTCACACAGACAATACTTCTATTTTAAGTGCTAAATGGTTAGATAAGGATGATGTTGACTCGTCTGGTATATCAGTTCCGCAAAATGAAAATGATAAATCAGCTACTATAGACTATAGACAGTGGCAAACTCTTGACACCACGTGTTCGCCTTGAGACTTGCGGAAAGCGCACTTTCGCATTTGCTGATCCAACAATTTGGAACGCCCTTCCACTCGATCTCAGAAACATCCAGACACTGGAGTCCTTTAAAACCAATTTAAAGACACATTTATTTCGCAAACACCTTCTGGGATGATTGTCTACCATATTTTCCATTTAATGCATATTAGCTGTGTTGCTCACGGTTGAAATGGGTTGAAAGACTTTGACATTGTATGCTTGTAATTAGTTTTTGTAGTGTTGCGTTTGTTTTAAATGTGGTAAATTATAGATTTGTTTTTTGTTGACTTTGTACCGCGCTTCGAGCCTTTGGGGATGAAGCGTGTTTTTGAAATGAACTTTATTATTATTATTATTTATTATGCCCATCAGGGGCGTCATTTCAGGTTTTTTTTTCAAGGGAAGTGAGGGGGGCAAAACCAAAACTTGGTCGGTTTATTACTCGAGGCGCCACATTACATAGCAATTTAAATAAAACCAGCAAAATCAGTGCGGGTTGGGGGGCAAATGCCCCCTGCCTTACCCAAAGGATGTCCCTGATGCCCATTGTTGCGATACAGCAACATCTGGCTACTCCATGGGAAGATGATAGTAGCTAGAAACTATATTATAATTGTCAGCTATACTGACAATAATCATATTTATACTTCCACAAACAATGATTTTTAGTCCTTAACAACCTTTTAATTGATTCTGCATTATAAAATTTAAATGTAAAAACTTTTTAACTTGTTGATTAACAAGCTAAACATATAATAAAATGTTTTCCTTAGAATTTTATGTGTCATTTAAATAGATCAGCAAAAAGTAAAATGTATTTATAAATTTATTTATATTATAAATAATTTAAAAAAAAATTTTTTTTTGGGGGGGGGGGGGAAAAAAATGTTGGAAAAATTAAATAGGGGGGNTTGACATAATTAAATAGGGGGGTCATCGAAAGTTTGACAGTTGTTCACAGGGGTGGGGGGTTAAAAATTGCGTAAAAATTGTTGACGTAATTAATGGACGACCCCTCCTAAGATTGGTGTCAAAACCACACATAATTGCCTCTGTCATCGTCATTTAATTTAAGTCTGTTTGATACCATCAATGATTTCACCACAAGACAACAGTCATCGACAGCCTGAACAGCAGTAGCGCAGTCCAAAGGATCAGGGCGGAAACTCGTGTACAATTCTGTGTCATCCGTAAATAATTTGCGAGATATACCATCACTTTAAATAATTCTGCCAAGCTGGAAAGTGTACACGGAGAAGAGGATTAGGTCCTAAAAGGTGTGCTGATGGCTGATCAGGCCGATTGTGGCACGACATGTTCTGGTGCAGGTGGTGGATGGGACAACTCTCGCTCAACGTGATCTGAGTCCAGCAACAAGAAAACGTCGAGATGGATGCATGCGGACGGGATTGGATGCAGTGAATGGCCATGGTGTTCTCCGTGTCTCGACATGCTGTGAGTGATTCACATCGCGTTGCTGTCTCCGCTTTATCCAAAAAAAAACAAAAAACATGTGAATTTTATGGAAAAGCATCCACGAGTGCACCTTGCAAATTCAACGTCTATGTGGTGCCCAAGCTTTAAACTATAATCGATGTTTGTGTCATGTATTACATTTCCGTAGCCATCATTGTAAAACGTGCCCTTTTGTCACCAAGACTCTCACATACCCTTCCCTAAGGATAGTTTTTAGATAATGGACGGCTTACTTTGTACTAACTGCAGGTTTGTCTACACCATTGTACCTGCTGCCAGAGGGCTTATCTAAGTGAGACTGGGCGGCACCTCTCGTACAGATTTACCGGACACCTAAATAATGTGCAAGATAAGCAATATTTGATCTCAAAACACTTTAACTGAAGTGACCACAAGGAATATGCTATCACTGCCATTGTGATTTGTACCAACACGTCCACCAGGGTGACCTTGGAGATCAAACTGATTCTGACTTTTGGGACCTTGACACCACATGGCATGAATGATATTTTCTACCTTCACTTTTTAAACCTCGTCTCCACCCTCCCCGTTAAGACAAATGTTAGTGGACTTATTTTTCCCCTCTTCTTTTCCCTTTTGCCTGTATAACTCTGTTACCTAATAATGCTCAATCACATTCCTCTGGCTATCCTCTAGGACAGTGGTTCCCAAATTTTTAAGTTTGGCGGACCGGTGAACAAGTTTAGAAATTTAACAGGGATCGGTGCATGATTTATTTTTATACTTTTATTTCTATTTGAGAATAAATATTTATGTTATGGGGACCGGCAGCGTTATGCATGTGGACCGGTGAAGGTCCACGGACCGCCATTTGGGGGACCACTGCTCTAGGATACTACATTACATCTAAGTGTTTATTTGTATATTTTAATGCTTATAGCCGATGTTCCTTGTTTTGTCAATTTTTTCCCATACTTTGTTTCACTTATTCCCTTTATTAACTTTCTATTTATGAAATTGGCAATTGAACTCAAAAAGTAATTTCTAGGCCTAATCCGAGTTCAGCCTGTGGGATGAGTGTGGTGGCTGGCACTGATATTTGCAGTTTACTCTCTAGAACTTATTTTAAGGCTTTATAAGGCCCTTTGTGTGGTGGACGTAAATAGAAAGACGTAAGTGGATGCTGTTGTGAGTGGTTATTATATTATGAGGATGTGCGTCAAAAGTATTTTGGTGTTGTAAGTGAACTTAATTTAAGTTCATAAAACAAGGTAAATGACTTCACCGAGACATTAATGTACACCATGGAATTGTTTTTCAATCATGTTATTAGTTCAATTTCATATTTAAAGATTTTAAAATTAATTTTCAAATTATTTTGAAAAGGAATCTAATCAATATCATAGCACAGTAAAATCTGCTTAATAAAGACCTATTTTATGCAACATATACCTAGTACAAATAAAACCAGATTATAATGGCACGGCGCCAGAGATTAGATTGCAATTCCATCATTATCAAAACAAGGAATCTTTAGAGAATCTAAATATCTTGTTATGGATGAACTTCTTGTTTAAGTTCTATTATTTGCATATTTGCTTTCTCAAGCTTTCTTTTGGCCCTATTTTGATTGAATTGGAAGAATCATACATTTTACTACAATATACAGTACATCAATTTAAACCATAACTATTTAATTAGTTACAACACCAAAACCATCACATAATAAAGATTCATTGCTCTCAAAAAACAACAAAGTTCATCATCACCCAGTGGTTAATTGCTATACACGTTTCTTTAATTGCGTCTCCTACTTGCTCAACATTAACATTTAAATAAAGAAATTATGAACCTGATTACTGTAAAAAAATTCTACATGAATCAATGGTACACAAAACTAACAATTCCAACAAAAGAGACAGTTCCATGAATAAATAAATAAGAGATCTCTAGTGACTAGATAAAATTTACTTTTCTAGAGGATGCCAAACCACATCTATATTGCGTAACAGCATGAAAAATTCATGAATACTCTCCTCTTCGTTGAGCAGGCATTCTAAAACATGTTTACTGTCTCACTAAAAGGATAAAACACAACTTCTAAATGAAAATAGGATTTTTTAAGTCAGATTTTCATCAAATTTGATCTTTTTATACCTATCAATAGCAATTTTGTCCAAAATGGATTAGAAATTTGTAGAAATTTTGATTTAATTAGAGATAATTCATTGGTTAGGTATGCCAGCTCAAGTTATACAGATTCCTGTTCTTAAATTAACAACATGAAATAAATATTGTCCTTCTTGACAAAATTATCAAGTTCACTGTCTTATAACCTTTAGTTTCACCGTACCCGGGAGGGGGGGGGGAATTTTTACTACTGTTTTACTGTTTATCATCTGAATTAACTCTTCTTTTTTTTATGTAATATGCTAAATACCAACAATCAAGGCTTAAGATTCTTTACAATAATTCTATGGACAATACTGGATCCCAGTAGACACAATAACTATTGGCAGTAAAGACTCCTGGCTGGATGAGGTTAGTAGTTCTGGCAATGTCTGACTCACTGGTGAAATCAGATTGTGCTTCACTATGAATTAAATTGTTATGAAGTGTTAAACCCTGGGTCACTGACTGTGGCAAACTGTCTGATACAGGAGTGGAGCTGGTCAGCATGAAATCTCTGTGTATTTGATGATCTTTGACTAGTGCATCGGTTGCTGGAGACAGAATGTCCATTTGCAGCTGTGAATTAGTGTCCCCTAAAAGAGAAGTGGAAAGTGACTTAACTGCAGGTCTAAAAGTGGCTTATGTCATAAATAAATAATTTTTAGTGCGTAAAATTTAACTATTATTTTTCATATTCGGTGTTTGTTCAATTCAAATCTCTTAATTTTTAGATGCATAAAAAAATTTCATGGACTTATAGAAAGTTACAATTTTATATCTACCTCCAACTACAAAGTTATATACTGTTATGATTTTAGAAAAAAACATTGCACAAAGCAGTTAGGATTTAAACATACTGACAAACATACTAATGTTAAAATCACTACTAATAAAACAAGATCATACCTGCCACAAGTCCAGCAGCGTTTACATTATCTTGGCTGGATTTACATTGGTGGTCAGTCTGATCAGTGTGAGTTTGTGCCGAGTACGGACTTATTGAATTAATTCCTGTGTGCTGGGTCATGTGTTCTTGCAAAGATGAATGTGCAGTAAATTCCTTTCCACACCCCTCATTATTGCACACAAATTTCTGACCTGTGAAAGAGATCATTTAGTTAAGTTTAACACTACAAGTTTAAAAGTATTTAATTTTATTCCCACACATTTTAGTAAAACCGAAAACTTTAAAAAATTGTTCATTCTAATTTTGGACTTCTATAACATTAAAAGTTTCACGACCTTCCATTGTCCCAATAAACTTGATAATATAAGCTCTTACCTTGCTCAGCTATGACAAACTTTGCACCTCGTCTTGCTTTACATTTGTGTCCATATGGATTGTTGTAAGTTTTTGCACAATAAGAACATGTTTTACTGAACCCGGCATGCTGTGCCTTGTGACCTTTTAAAGACAGGGGTGTTGTGTATTCCTTGTCACAACCTTCCACATCACAAGTGTACTTTTGACCTGGTGACAAAATATTTTAAAACATTTAAAGTCTTCTATGTTAAACAAATCAATAACGTTTAAGTAAACTGAAATGGATTAAAATCGATTAATTGTTGAAATAAAGAAGTGTGATAGTTCAACTTTTCACAATAAGTAATTCATTTTAAAACATTGGATATAATATTGAAATATTTCATGAGTAGTTCAGTAATTTGCCTAGTTATTATTTTTATCATCTCTTATTGATTACATCTTACTATGAATCACCTGAATGTTTTCTCATGTGTCCTTTATACCCGGTGTGTGTAGCAAAACTGACACCACAAGCAGAGCATGAGAATGGCTTCTCCTTAGTGTGTGAGGGAAGATGACGTCTCAATTCTGTGCTGCTTATGAAGCCTTTCTCACAAAAACTACATTTGTATGGCCATTTTCCTATTAAAAAAACAAAAATCAATAGATGTAAAGATAACACGGTAAATGAATTGATCAACTAACAAACTTTTAATGGGATGAATGTAATATTAAGATTGTGACAGGACTGTGGGATATGAGCATCATGTGATTCCTTATTTAAACTATATGGTAACAAAAACGAATAATTTAGTAATAAGTCATTCATATTACCCAGGAATAGATTTAATTATTTGGTATCACATTTCTTAACACTAACCAATTCCATGGCTCTGCAATATGTGAAACTTTAGTCCATTGACTGTTCCATATCGCAGTCCACAGTGTGAGCATGCATGGGGCTTTTCTAGTCGATGAGTCAACATGTGTCGTTTTAGATGATTGTGGCGGAACTTCTTACCACATACTGGACAGACATAATCTGAAATTCAAGTCACTATAATAATTATTTAAAAATTATATGTAATGTGAATTATACAAAATAATTAGATTTCAACCTTTTTATGCCCCTATTCCTTTTATTCTAATTTTAAGTTTAGAAAGAGCTCGGGAGCAATCTGTCGCAAAAGTTTTTAACAGTGAAAAAAAAAGTCAACTTTTGGCTGCACAACTATGTCTTATAAGGGTAGAAAAAAAAAAAAAGTAGCGGGTAACAATTTTTTGAATAATTATATTCAGGTTTTATTTTGTTCTAAACTTATGGATTATGTCAGCAAATTTCTTACATTTCCAACAGGATAAATAGTATTTACATATTTATTAAAAACATCATACATTTCATTTTTCATCTTTAGATAAAGTTACATTAAAAATAAACAGATTAACATTTACAAGAGGGCAATTGTCTTTAAGTAGCCAAGAAAAATAAAACTATAAAACTAATCAACCATTTCAACCCAACGACTATACCTTTAGTTATAATTTATGATGGTTTACATTTAATTGAAGAAGATATTTTAAAATAAAAAAAATCCATAAATATATTCAACTTGAAGTTGTAAACAGACCTGATTTTTCAGAATGCTGTGACGTGTGATTGGTCAGATTGCACTCAAGGCGAAACACCATATCACAATGTGAACATTTCAGAGGTCTGCCTGCCGCTACTGATTCAACAGACATAACATGCCGGTAAACATGTTTTTTTACATGGAAGAAGGAAGAGGCAAACGTTTTAACACAAGAATCCCAGGGACAATGATACTTGCCATCTGTAACAAAAGTACATAGATCACTCAGTTTCAATCATAATAATAAGTATATAATAATACAATTAAATATCACTTATTTGAATTATCTGTATTCAAATCGATTTATGTCATCCTTTTTTTAAAAATCCCACAAGATGTTAAAAAAATCCTTACTACATCACATAACAATCACATCAATTTAAACTCACACAACACATTCAAAAAATCATTACATCACATAACAATTACATCATGTAATTCCCACAAGACATTTAAAAAATCCTAACATCACACAACAATCACATCACTTAAACTCAACAAGACATTTAAAAAATCATTACATCACACAGCAATCAGATCATCTAAAAGTAGGGAGAGACTCAATTGTCATACTGTTACACCATGTACCCACCCCTTCTCAACTTGCCTCTCTGACCTGTTCACTTGACAGCATTGTCTACCAAGTGAAAGGTACTTAGAGGTCACTCAAAGTACTTTCCCAAAAACATTACACAAGAAGGCAATTGTCCTTGGCACTGACTTGGCCAGGCACCTCAAGTGCCATGTTTTAGAATGGTACATTAAATACTGTCACCCATTCCCATTCGGAGGCTTGGATTCTGTGGCTTCCATCAAACATTAAGGCAGTGGTTCTCAACCTTTTTGTGCCGCGACCCTTTTATACAGTTTCTTGTGTCGTGGCGACCCCCAGCCACACAATTATTTTCTTTGCTACTTCATAGCTGTAAGGATATGTGTTTTCAGATGTCTTAGGCGACCCCTGGGAAAGGGTCCCGTGACCTCCAAAGGGGTCGCGATCCACAGGTTGAGAACCGCTGCATTTAGGTATGGATGAAACAGCTGCCTAAAAGCCAAGCCTTCAAGATGGTGTATGGAGAGCTACATAAAAGCAATACAGGTGGTGCATTGTATCAACTTAGCAAGTTAATTTTCAGCTCTCTTCTCTTATTTGTTAATTGCACCTGTCATCATGGTCCCTAAACTGTTCCTGTGGTTATACTCGTTCAGCTATTGTTTGCTGAACGCTTATCGTTACACAGGTTTTTGCACAAATAATCTCTTGTGCATGTCAATTTCCCCCAGGGAAATACTAGGCTAATACTCCATGGCAGGCGCATAGTCTAGAGCCCCAGGAATTTTAAATGACATCATCTTAAAAATGATAAGTTTTTATTTTAAATTTCATATTACCGAAGTGCATTTTCCCATGTTTAGATTTTTGTAGTAGATTTGAAAACTTTTCCTTGCATCCGTCAACCTCACAGCTGGTGTCAGTCAAAACATAGTGGTTGAGGAAGTGATCAAAAAAATCTTTATGTTTAGTAAATTCTGCTTGGCAACCCTGTTCTTCGCAGCGATACCCTTGTATTTCCGTCACCTCAATATTATCTGAAATCAAAGGAGACAATGTTAGTCATTTTAAAAAATAATAAATTTTAGTTATATTTTACGGCATAGTTCTATCTCATCAAATTTGATGGTAACTCAATTGAATCAATAAAAGTTTAGGGAATCCAATATATTTTTTTTTAAATTTTAAAACTAGTACAAGCCTGAGCTCCTTACATTGGTTTCTACATTACTTAAAATTGAAAAGACATGTTTTGTTTTGTAAAAACTGCCGTTTAAAATTGAGCCTGAAAAATGAAAAAAAGACAAAGCAATTCTTGCCTCATAGCTTGTAACAAATCTGATGTTTCAAATAAGACAAGACAAAGCAAATCTTCCTGCTCATCAAAGCTGCTCATTCCTGCCCAAGACAATCAGGGACTGGAACAATCTTTCAAAAGGAAAGGTTGAGGCGACAACACAAGACACATTTGTGTCCATTGTCTCAAGCCTTCAAACCCCTAGTGCATGATTTCCTCATCAACACCAGTAACAGAAACATTGCAAATCCCATCTACATGCATAGGAGCCAAAATGATCAATAAATTGATAGTGGGCCCTTAAGATATAGAAGAAGAAGAAATCTTGCCTCATAGCTTGTAACAAATCTGATGTTTCAAATAAGACAAGACAAAGGAAATTTTTCCAAACAGCTTGTAACAAACCTGATGTTTCAGCACCATGAATCCTTTTATGAGTCTTAAGTCCATAGTTGCTGGCAAAGACAAGATCACATACATTGCATACAAAGTCTCCACCAAAATTGGCTTTCAAACATCGACTGTGAGCAAGGATATGTTGCTTAAGTGTTCCCATGACTTTGAAAATGCTGGAACAGTTTCTCCAGGGACATTTCATTTTTCCATCTAAAATATAGGTAGTCTTTTATTGGCAGTTAATAACAAGAATATATTACAGAGAGCGTTAAAACAATTGTAAAATACTGAACATACCAATTTTCATTAACTCATAATATAACAACTGCAGAACATAATGGGCATGTAGAACACTAATACTGTCGACAGCATGAAATAGAGAAAAGAAATATCGTATTTAAAAATGTACTTTTTTTTAGTAATATTAAGGTAACTGACAAGTGAATGTGATAAAATATTGATAGCTGACAAGTGGATGTGATAGAATATTGAAAAGTGAATGTGACAGAATATTGACAACTGACTAGAGAAAATTATAGAATATTGACGACTGTGGTTTTAATTTGGGAAAAACTAGACCCTAATGATGTTTGTATGGACAAATATGACAGTGTTAAATAGCAGGAAATTGACAAAATAATTAAGTAGCGATGAGTTTAACATTTGTGGTAATTAACCCTTTTATTCTCTATCAGTATCATTACATTATTTGCGGAGAAAGTATTTGTTCTTTGTAAACAAATATAATGTAAGAGTGTATTAGTTCTTTAAATGTAACTGGAAGGGGAGCAAGATTTGAAAAATTTCAGATGATTAGTTTTACCAAAATGGATTTTACTGTGCTTGGCCAGCTGTAGCTGATCATCAAAGGTTTGAGAACACCCATTCACATCACAGGTTGATCTTTTCTTACAGTGGTTCCACAGATGGTTGTCAAGGCTTTTTGGAAGGAAAAAAGTTTCTTTGCACTCATCAACTGTACATTTGAGGGGTGGATTTGCTAAAGAACAAAAATGAGTCAGATTTAAAAAAAACAAACTCTAATCCAGATAAAGATCATACATGTTTTTTTTAAAAATAAGTTTATCTGCTCACAAAGGAGATAGTGTGATCTTTTCTTTTGCCCACTGACCCTGCTATACTATATTAAATATGACTCTGAAATTAAAAAAAAAAGAAAAAGGAGATCATTGTTAAAACATCTCTGTGTTTGAAAAAGCCAAAGACTTGAGATGAATAATACTGTTTAATTTTAAATGTGACACAGACCTAAGTGAGATTCAACATGACTCCGACGCTCCACTTCAGAAGAGAATTCCATTTGACAGTCAACCATATTGCAAAGGTAAAGTTTAGGCTTAAGTAAACATTGGGGCGAAAGAATGAAGAATTAAGTTTTTAGAATAATGTTTTACACACACATACAAGATGAATAATGATACAATGTTTTTCAAAGGCTAAGCATTTCTAGGAATAATATTTCGTAGATAAAAGTTTTATTTAGTGTTAACAGTTCACGTGGGTAACATTAAATAGGATGTGAGTCTCTAAGTGCTTTGACATTATGTGGAAATAATATTCTGTCTGATACAGCTGAAACCAAACTGACAGTAAAGTTATAGTGTAAAAACAAGGTGACATAACTGTGTGGCAGAGGATGACACAATACTTTACACTGCCATCTCTTACATCTGTGTCTTTATCCATACACTTTAAGTATGTGCCTCTATCCACCCCTCTAAAATATGTGTATCTATCCAACCACTTAGTATTTTTCTCAAGCCATTCACTTAAAGTATGTGTCTCCTATCCACCCACTTAAAATATGTTTCTATCCACCCACTTAAAATATGTGTCTCAACCCAACTTTTTAACAGTGTAAGAAATGTTTAAAAGGCATTGAAAAATTGGAAATGAGATATTAATAGAAACAGATATTTTACAAATGACTTACGTGTGTTTCAAGAGTTGTCTCCAGGCTGTGATACATTTTCTGGTGGTGAGGAATGTGGATAAAAGGAAGAACCATTCCACAATCAATACAAATGTGCTCCTTTGATTGCAGCTCTTTGGTCGGGAGAGATTCCATTTTTGTGGGGGGCTTGTTGTGTTCTAGGACCAAGTGTTTCTCCAAGAGGTTCTTACGATTAAAATGTTCTCCACAGTCTTCATATGTACAGGGATATTTGACAACATCTCTACCAAGTTTGTAGTCCCCTCCTTTGTGAACTAACATGCGATGTCGAGACAGTGTTGATTTGAGTGAGAATTTTTTGCTGCAACCTTCAAAAGTACAAGAGTAGTAGATGCCAGGTACTGGAAGAGGCCGTTTCCCCATGTGGTAAGAAATGACATGACGTTTCATATAGATGCGGCTTGTAAACTTCCTGTCACATCCAGAAACATCACAAGACACACATTTTTCAGGAGGACTGGTTGCATTTCTTTCATTCTCTTGTGGAAAAATAGAAAAATCTTACTTTATATAACATAATATTTGCAGTCCGCATGTGCTGTGAGGGAGAAAATAAGAGTAAGTTACTTGACATATAATCATTTCAACACCAAACAAATCTCTTTTCTTGAATATTCATTGGAAATTACTTGTTTGATAAATAGAGGGATCTGAATGATGATGATGAAATCTAAATATAAATGATTCAAATAGAATTTGCTTTGAATTCTACAATTTCACTTACTCTCATGGACTTTGTAGTGAACATCCAAGTAGCGCTGACAGCCAAACTTCTTTCCACACTTCTCGCAGTACAAGATGCTCTCTGGTGAATGGGTACAGAGATGAAGCTCATATTTATCTTTCCTTACAAAAGAAATTTCGCAGCCTTGATATGTGCACCTGTACCTGCCACGTTGCTCAACTGGAAGGATCAATTACATCGAAGAAACTTCTTTATTTATCTTCACACTTTTTACAGACATCTCATATTTTATAGTTGGAGAACTAAACAAGGTGTACATTTTTGTCATTCTTTAATTTTAGACTGGACTTTAATTTGGTCAGGAATTTTTCTATTCTACTTTGTAAAATACCTGGAACACTTAGCAATTGTGCAAAAAAAGAATCATTATGAATTCATTCAAGAATCAATCTATAATAATTTCCAACAAACTTACCAATATGATAATAATAAAAAGACAAGATTATTTTGAGTATAGAAAAGTTTAACCCCATTTTTAGGTGAAACAACTTGCAAACTAATTTCTCAAAGATTAAATTATAATACCGGTACACATTAATTGTGTAATTGAATTTTGGTCCAACTCATTGAAGATATTTAAAAGATTCCTTACCAGTTTTATCATGCTTTTTATCTCTTGCACAACAATTTCTTCGTTTTCTTCTTGCACTTAAACTGTTGTATTCAGCATTGTTCTTATTGAATACAATATTCTTCTTTAGCTTTTTGGTTTTTAAATTTTGATCCTTTCTATCAATATCTTTTAGTCTTCTCTTCTGCCTTGTCTTAGAAGATTTTGTTGACTGATGTGGGACATCTAACAGAGTAGTGAGTATTGGCGATGAGACGTGCCTGCAAGATGGCCCTCTCTTCACCATCAACACATCGCTCCATTCAACCTCATCATTCCTGGCTTCCGACTGTTTATTATCAGTTGTAATCATTGAGGGATTCAATGTATTCCTTTGTCTTTGACTGACTTTTATTTGATCTACAAATGAAAATATAAGAAGATTTTATGTGACAACATTTCAATGAAAGGCATTTTCAAATTTCAATGACTCCTTGGATTTTGATGGAAATAAAGGCTCACAACAAACAAAACAAAATTAGTTTGATCTCTCTCAACACAGGTTGGCCACCATTTTTTGAGCAGAGAACATTTTATCTGTTTCTTTTTGGTTCTTGCAGACAAATAATGTTAAGCATCACAGTTTAATTAAGAATATGCTAATCAATGGTTACTGTCTGTTAAGCATCATAATGCATATAGCTGACTTATTGGAAAACATTTCATTTTTACCCATAAACTTTGAAAGATCTATTAATTTTGTGAACAAAAGTTGTACTCAGTCAAGTAACTTGCTTTCCGTCAATATTGGTAATCTTGTGAGCAGTTTTAGATAGGGTCAGTGAATGACATATTCAGAGCATTTCACAAAATAATACATATCCAAGGTTCACTAGGACACTTTTGCTACCGGTACAGAATCACATAAAAATAATTTTAACAATCCTCAATTTTTGTATAACAAAAATGTGCAACTTAAACCAATGTCATATTTCTTTAAAGCTAATTTAAGCACTGTACAAGAAACAAAAAACTTAATGATAAATAAAATAAAACTTACCAGATTTGTCTAATTTATTCTGAACTGTGTTCTTCCGCTGTTTGGCATATTTCTTTAATCTTTTATTTTCCTTGGCTTTAGCTTTATTTATGACATCTTTATCAGATTCATCACACATGCCATCTTTATCTGATTCATCACACTTCTCTTCTACTTCTAGGTCATACAATGAAACAGATAACTCATGATTTGGCTGACTTTTTATTAGCTGAGCTTTGTTGGCAAGGCAAAGTTTTCTGCTGCCTGATATATTTCTATTCCTTTTCTCATGTGTTGAACACGTAACTGTTTGTTGATTATGTCTCCCAGCATCCTCAGCAAAAGATGAAAGTGTTAAATTTGTAAATTGCTGTTGAATATGCTCAGGCCTGTGATCCCAATCACATCTGTGGGGCTTGTACAGTTTAACATTAATTGGATCTCCAAACAATTCTCGTAAGGTGCCTATCCCTTTTGATATTTGTTTAATTGTGATGAAGCATAAATTGCAGATTCTTGGTTCTCCAATGGTTCTCTCATTGAACAAAGCTTTAAAATCTTGTGGGTGTAGGAAGGCTTTCAGTTTTTCACGTATCCCAAAACGTATACACTTAGCTCCAAAAAGAAGATGTTTCTTGCTGCCAAGCACTTGCTGGCAAATTTCACAACTTTCCTTTTTCTCATTTGCTTTTTTGGTGCCTGCCATGTTACTTTTATTCACATCTGCTTCCTTTTAAAACTGAGCTCTTGTTCTTTCAATACTACTAAACTTATATCACACATAATTCTATTGAGTCTATTGGTTCCATTCTTTAAGTTACAAAAATTTCCCACATTTTTTAAAGTTTAAAACTTGAGAGGTTAAGTCACTAATAGGTATCTCTAAAACTTATGGCTACTAGTACTAAAAACGTTATTTTATTTATTTATTTTTTTGCATTTTAATGTATGTATAAAGGGGGAAATTTTCATCAAGTTATAACTTGTCTGTCTTATTTTAGTTACGTTAGTATTCTCAGGTTTCTTATTTTTATTAAACTTAAAAAAAAAAAAATACAATTGAAACTTGTCTTTGACTTTGAGGATTTAGGATTGATCCATTAACTATTGCATAAAATTGCAAATTCTGTTTATTGTACTAAACTTTAATACCCGGTACTATACTTTAATATTTTACAAATAAAGAATAAGTTTTAATAAAGCCATTTATCTGGAGTGGAATAAAAAAAATAATTCAGTTTTTTTGTTTTTTAAAATTAGAAATTAAATGTGAAAAAATAAGTTTGTAGTTCTTGATACAAAAATGATCAATCATGGGTACAAAATATATATATGAAATTCATTAGCAGAAATGGCTCTGCTCAAAATGTTGTAATTAATCTTTCTATACATGTACACTTAAAACTTAAAGAACTTGGAGTGGGGAGAAAATCTAATTTGTATCGTTACTTGAAGTGGGGAAGGGGAGGTGGTGTCTTAAAAAATTAAAGGGATTCAGCTGTTGGTGGTTTGTAAGGGCATGAAAAATATATAAATGTTTTATTATAAATAGATAGCACCTTATTTTAGCATCTCATTTTATTAAATATGATTTAAAAATATTGTAGCTTAATTTGTCAAGACAGAGTCTTGTTTAACTATTATTTCTGTTGAGCGTGCCAAAATTTCTTTTTGCAGTTTGTGGATCTTGACCTCCTGATTCATAATAAGTATTTTATTTGTATTCTTTAAATCCTCCAAATATTTTTTTGATCTTTTAAGTTGCTTTATAATAATTTTATTCCTCAGTTGCTTTTCCTTTAAGAATGTAACGGTTCTATTTAAATTTGAATTTTGCCTTACTAAAACTCTATTTCTTTGTTGTTTTATTTGGAGACTACTAATTAGTCTTTTAACTTTCTGATTAACTTTTTTAACTTTAAACTGACTTTCAATTGCCTTTTTTTGAGTTTTTAGTCTTTTATTTTCTTCCCAAAGTTTCTCATTCGTCTTTCTTTTTAAAGTGCAATTTTGACATTCCTTTCTTAAACTAACAAGACCATGATCACTGGTGGATGGAACTGATTCACTAGATGATGGAACTGATACACTAGTTGATGGAACTGATTCACTAGTTGATGGACCTGATTCACTAGATGATGGTCCAGGTTCTGTTGTCTTAACAGTTTTTTTAATTAAGGTATCCATTGGATTTGTACCACTTAAGATGGGAAACTTTTCTGATAAAAGTTTAACAATGTCATCCCAATGCTCTGATTTGTGTCGAATTAATTTTCCATAATTCTTATAAAGACTCAATATTGATAAACTTAACTTATTTATAATCCTATTATCAACTTCCATAACACAAGGTGGCGTTGTTAAATTTTGAATTTCTAAAAGTATTGCCTTGGCAGTCTTGTGAAAACTTTTTTTATTTGCAATAACCTTGTTGATGATGTGGCCATTGGTAAAAATATTGTCATTGCCAAGATTGTCATAAGAGCTCAACAGCTCATGTAAATCGTTGGCTATCTTGTGGGCTGGTTCTGAAAGTGACATTCTGATATTTCTTACCCTTTTTTAAAATAACAAACAAAAAATAACCCATGAGTTAATAACAAAGCAAAAGGACGGGAACGGAACACAATTGTGGGATATAATAATAGTAATAATACTTTTATGAATGAAATAGCACTAACATCAAATAATTTAGATTTCAGATATTCCGGCGCAGACTATACAAATGTTTTAGTAGCCTGCCTTGCTTTGCAGTGCCTATTATGTTATTAAGTATAATTAAGGCACGGCAAGGTAAATAAAGAATCCGAGAAGAAATTGATGATGGACTTGGTTTATTAATTATTAATACTAATTCATATAAATAATATAAGCAGTAAATTAATTTATTTTTAAAAATTTAATTAAGGATGATAAGTAAGCCATGGCCATTAACCCTCTGGAGACGTAAGGGCCGATCTATTGGCCCGAGGTACACTAGCGAGAAAGACGTCAAGTCCGAGCCGTCGGCCTGATAGATCGAGCCTCACGATTGGCTGGCTTGGCGTTGTACCAGCGAATCAAAATTATTCATACGTATTCCTGCACATCCCGGCATTGTAATGGCGGCGTTCGTTGAAGGTGAACTCAATTTATTTGTTTGCAGGAATTTTTGTGTGTGTGTGTAGTTACATCGTGAATTTTAATGAAGACTTTCAAATTGAGGGTAATGCTAATGTTGTGAACTCTTGGTTTAGTATTACTAGTATTAGGGGTCCTCAAATGGACAGAGATGACCCCTCTGAATTTTTAGACAACATAAGTCCTATAAATAAGTCATAAGCACCCCATTTGAGTATTTTATGCTATTTTTTACACTAAATATCACTCAAGTGTTAATGAGAGAGACCAATTGATATGCAGACACATTTGTCAGTAACATTCAGCTTAAGAGAAGGTCCCTAGGTTATAAATGGGGGCCTGTTACAGTGTGTCTGTAACAACTGAAAAATAGGGGGTGGGGGTGGGAAAGGAGTAGAACCATGTGCCAGAGGTGTCTGAAGGGCCTTCATGGGCCCTTTTCCCCCAAAAAATAAGTATTAGGACTTATTCAGGCTTCATCCATCAAAAAATTCACACAATTGATACAAGTAAGTCATGTTTATTCTAGGTGTAACAAAAAATTACACGCATAAATTATGCAAATAAGGGCACCTCATTTGCATAAATTTTGATATGTCAGTTTGATTCATAAAGATTGTATTAGTTCATTCAATTTCCTACAAGAATATATATAGTTTTACATATATTAAGGGAATAGTTTATTTTTTATAAATTTTTTTGCAATGTGAGTCTCGAGCTCGTAAAAATTGCTCCGTCTTTTTGGCACATACACCCCGAAAAGGCTCCGTCTCCAGAGGGTTAAGGGGGCCATAATAAATGATGTCATGCTATTTTACCTGATTTTTTTACCCCCACCTCTCCCCCATGTCCATAGTCTTAGACGTAGGCCTAGTACTCTTAGATACCCTCATTGTCATAGTACTACCCAATCCTAAATCACATTATCCCTGAATGCCTAACCCAAAATTATTCCTGAACTAAGAGTTACTAAGACAACGCGTAGTTGAGTACGGTACTAACTTACTACTAAGACATCCCCAACAGTGTAACAGTTAAGTTAACTCAACTCAGTACACACAGCTGCCATGATCCATGGGCCGTGGTGGTATCCCTACGCCTACACTAAATTATCCCTACTTACAGTGCCGGTGCGTTACATTTAAACAAGAGTGATCCCTTATAATCTTATTTTAGTGCAATAAATACCCTAGTTAAGTTTTCAATAAAACACCGTCTTTTGTTGGAATTGACCCAACCATTAAACTTAAAACAAATGGGGTTTGAATCTTAATCTTTTGTCATTCACGGCGCCATTGTGGTACTCATATAGAATTCTTCTGTCTTGAAAGATTAATATAAGATCTACGTTCATTGGATGCACATAGATTTAGATAAAAGTATTTCAGGGGTCTCAAACTCAAATAATCCGGGGCTGTAGAAGGTCGAGTCTGAGTGAGACTGGGCCGCATCAAGTATTCCACGCAAAAAAAAAAAAAGCGATTTCAATAATGTTAAAAGCCATTTCAATAATGTACAACTGTTAAAAACCGCTCAACTTTTAAAAATAACAAATAAAAACAATAAGGATTTTCAAAAACTAAGCTTCACTTTCTTCCTCCTATTCCTTGTTGCCAGAGATCTGGAAGCAGTTTTACTTTCAGAAACCCCCCCCCCCCCCCCAGGGGCATTTCAGATATTGGGGGGGGGGGGCAGTGGCAAGAGCCGTAGCTAAGGAAGGAAGAGGGGGACAGATATCCCCATGCACCAATACTAGCGGGACGCAATAATGGGGTGTGGTGTTATTTAATGCATCAAAATAATGGTTTTCAGAGTTCAGGGAAAAAAGGGGAGGGGGGGGGGGCGTGAAAATGAATCAATGTACCCTGGCGCCAAACACTCTAGCTACGCCTCTGCAAGTGAGACGGGTTGGGTGGCCAACCCAGATGTCAATTTTTCTTTATATGGAGAGGAAGTATTTTATGACAAATGCAGAGTTTGTATCGTTAATTGGAACGTGTCATAAGTCTGGCAAGTGCAGTGTGGCACTAACACTCCACTAGGCTGTGCATTTATCAGCACTAACACTAGCTACTCCACTATTTTGTGAATCTATCAGCACTAACACTAACTAAGACGACTCTTAGGAGTTTGGGGGCCCTAAGCATGGAACGTTGGTTGGGGGCCTCGGAAGGGGGGTCCGGGGTGGAGCTCCCTCGAGCTGAGGAGAAAAATCCACCCACCATTGCGGCACCTCCATTCTGCCTTTATCAATGTTTCCTCTTTGCTCTAACCATATTGATAATAATTAGAGAAAAGGTGTACTTCTGAAATATATGGACATGCAGGTGGTAGTGGGGCCCTAGTAGATCTACACGAAATTTTGCGGCTTAATACCTGACAACAAAGTTTAGTGTTTAATGCAACCCTTCTTCTTCTTATGCCTTTTTACCCCATCTGAGGCATTGGCCGTCCACGGGAATTTTCCATTCATCATGGTGCTGGGCTTTCCTTTTCAATTGCTTCCAGGCGCATCCCATATTTTGCGTGTTTGCCTCTAGCTCGCGTCTCCGTGTATTCTTTGGCATTCCTCTTTCTTTTCCCCTGTGGATTCCATGTTAGGCATTGTCTGGTGATGCACCTGGTAAGTCCTTTCTGGTAGAGCTTTGTTAGTGATGGTATTTGGCCATTGGATGTTCAGGATCTTTTTAAGGCAAGTGTTTCTGAAGGTCTGTACTCTCTGAGTAATGCTCGCTGTTGTTTTCCAAGTTTCTGCTCCACCACTAAAACTCTTTATTTACCTACTATGAGATGACCTATAACTGCCAAGAAAAAGTTATTCTATATGTTCAGGAAGGGGGCGTTCCACCCCGGGCGGCACTTTTTTCTTTGTATGGAGGGGCGGCATTTTCGGCCAAATGCAGATTTAAAAAAAGAATTCTTGGTAGTAGGGCGGCAAAAATCTCGGCCCGTCCCGGGTGGCACTAACCCTCGCTGCACCACTCGGACATTCTACTTCATCCTTACTCGGCCCGTCCCGGGCGGCACTAACCCTCGCTGCCCCACTCGGACATTCTACTTCATCCTTAGCTGTTACGGCACGTCAAGATCCCGCGCACCAGCCTTGTCTCTGGTTTATACCTCGTAACAATTTCAATGGTCCGCTCATTACGAGGACACATGTGAAGTCGTGACCTATGATCTGTGTCGGCAAGTCAAACAACCAACAGTTGGACATTGGTCGCTTCCTGATGTTGGTGGAATTCTATGTTGGAATGTTTTGCCCGCGCGCTGTCCCCAAATTTATTTACAAAATTAAAGGAAAACAAAGTATTCGCCAGCTCAAGAAAATCCTATTAATGACTACCATGTACATGCAGAGTGTGTAGCTTAAAGGTGCTGACACTATCATTTTGATTAGGGTAGGCGGGCAGGAAGTGAGGGCATGGACGACGAAAATGCGGAGGGATGCAATTTGTAGTATACCTGGCTTGAGTGTTTCTTTCAGAAAAATTGATCCAAGGAGGGGGCATTTCCAAGGGGAAAAGGCATCTATCCGCATACAAATTAGGGCACCAGGTGCTAATGGTAACATGAATTCACTCCGGTTGTGGCACACCCGAGGATTTGGCCCCAACTTAGTTTTGTCTCCCTACTTAGTTTTGTCTCCGTACTATCACTTAGTTTTGTCTCCGTACTATCACTTAGATTTGTCTTCGTACTATCACTTAGTATTGTCTTCGTACTATCACTTAGTTTTGTCTCCGTACTATCACTTAGTTTTGTCTCCGTACTATCACTTAGATTTGTCTTCGTACTATCACTTAGTATTGTCTTCGTACTATCACTTAGTTTTGTCTCCGTACTATCACTTAGTTTTGTCTCCGTACTATCACTTAGTTTTGTCTCCGTACTATCACTTAGTTTTGTCTCCGTAATATCACTTAGTTTTGTCTTCGTACTATCACTTAGTTTTGTCTTCGTACTATCACTTAGTTTTGTCTTCGTACTATCACTTAGTTTATTCTCCCTACTATCACTTAGTTTTGTCTTCGTACTATCACTTAGTTTTGTCTCCCTACTTAGTTTTGTCTCCGTCCTATCACTTAGTTTTGTCTTCGTACTATCACTTAGTTTTGTCTTCGTACTATCACTTAGTTTAGTCTCCCTACTATCACTTAGTTTTGTCTCCGTCCTATCACTTAGTTTTGTCTTCGTACTATCACTTAGTTTTGTCTTCGTACTATCACTTAGTTTTGTCTTCGTACTATCACTTAGTTTTGTCTTCGTACTATCACTTAGTTTAGTCTCCCTACTATCACTTAGTTTTGTCTTCGTACTATCACTTAGTTTTGTCTCCGTAATATCACTTAGTTTTGTCTTCGTACTATCACTTAGTTTTGTCTCCATACTATCACTTAGTTTTGTCTTCGTACTATCACTTAGTTTAGTCTCCCTACTATCACTTAGTTTTGTCTCCGTAATATCACTTAGTTTTGTCTCCGTAATATCACTTAGTTTTGTCTCCGTAATATCACTTAGTTTTGTCTCCGTAATATCACTTAGTTTTGTCTCCGTAATATCACTTAGTTTTGTCTCCGTAATATCACTTAGTTTTGTCTCCCTACTTAGTTTTGTCTCCGTCCTCCGTAATATCACTTGGTTTTGTCTCCGTAATATCACTTAGTTTTGTCTCCGTAATATCACTTAGTTTTGTCTCCGTAATATCACTTAGTTTTGTCTCCGTAATATCACTTAGTTTTGTCTCCGTAATATCACTTAGTTTTTTCTCCGTACTTAGTTTTGTCTCCATACTATCACTTAGTTTTGTCTTCGTACTATCACTTAGTTTAGTCTCCCTACTATCACTTAGTTTTGTCTCCATACTATCACTTAGTTTTGTCTTCGTACTATCACTTAGTTTTGTCTTCGTACTATCACTTAGTTTTGTCTTCGTACTATCACTTAGTTTTGTCTCCGTACTATCACTTAGTTTTGTCTCTGTACTATCACTTAGTTTTGTCTCCGTACTATCACATTGTTTGGCAAAGGGAGGGAGATGGTAAAGCAGCAATCTAGGGCTCCCGAACTGAAGCGACAGGGGTAAGGGCTGGTAGGGAGTCATCAAGTCCTTCCCCCCAAAAAAGTTTTGATAAATTAAAAATGCAGACCTTCATTTTAGCGCATACCTACATTTAGTTTTGTATCATTCTGCAGTTAATCAGAGAGCAAAAAAAAAAATTTAGGTGTCTCTCAACCTGGTTGGGTTTATACAGATTCTAAAATTTTAAGTTTTTCTAAATAGTAATAGTATTGTTTTATAATATATATTTATTATGTTAAACTTTTTATTTTGTTAAATTGCTTAATTAATAAATAAATTAAATATAAATTATAAATACACTTACATGTTTCCATACAAAATGGGGTCCGTCACTAAAACTAAAAGGAAGTAAACTAATCACTAAATGACAACTTTTATAAATTGTTCATGAGTGACAAAAATTATACTAATTACTATATTTTTAAAACGTAATGACAGTCTACAGTTAAAACTGTGTCCCAATTTAAAGTTGATCTCAAATTACAAAGAAATAGAAAACATGTTGCCCTTGTTTGATTGATGGCAAAAACTAATTCAAAATATAGGACTTTATGGTGATGGAAATTTAGTTTAACTCCGTACTGTTCTGAGTACAGGCTGCACTTTTCCCTACATAGCAAGTCTTTAATCAGGGTACATGATACCAAAAAAAACAAAAACCCAACAAATTAAAATGAATGGCAACTTAAAGAAACACTGGTTGTGAATAATAAATGAAACTACCAATATACTTGAACAATGGGATGTAGTGGTGTGGCTTAAACTTAAAACCGGGGCAGTCTTTTTTTGGAATGATACAGTATTTAGAATCTTACCTTCATTTTTTGGGATCATGAAATATAAAGTAATAAAGAGCATATCGGCATTTGAGAGATTACACTATTTAATTAAATCAAAAGAGTTATACAAATGAAAATGTATTTATTTTAAAATAAACTATATATTCACATTTTTCTTGGGAGGGGGTGGGGGAGGGCAGTGGTCCCGGGAGAGTTGCCTGAAATAAACACTGTATCCAAACACAGCACAAGTGAACAAACTGACAGAGTAGAACCTGGCAGAGGCTAAAGAACATATCAGCTTTGTCATTTAAGGATCAGACTCTTGTCACCTCTCGGGAATGTTCTTATTGGGAGCCACATTATTGCCTCTTAATGATAGATGGATACAGAGCAGACTAAAATATTCTGAAATTTTGATTCCTTCCATTCAAATGTTCACAATAAGTTTTACATGAATTTTACATTAGAAATAATTGCCTACCATTTTATGGGGTCATGATTCAATTGGACTGTACCCGGTGCCAATTACCATTCAACTTTTTAAGATTAGTGCTTGCCAAATATAGCAAGTATTGTAAAGGACTCTTAAGAAAAAAAAACACGGTTTTTCTTGTAAAATGTGTTTATTTAATATGTAGGACATTGCACACATGTCGGCACCAATGACTTCACACATTTAAAAGATTACTTTTTTATTCCAAAATTTCGAGAAGAAATCATATTTGATAATTTAATTTTGGCCGTGGCATTTTCCATAACTTCAGTTCCTTGCATTTGCCTGAGAAGTTTGGCATCTCGTGAGTGTAGAATGCTGTATGTAACAACTAATTCCTATCTCATCTTTTATAAATTTTGACTATCCCAGAACACAACGTAGTTATTGTAAGCATAGTCGGTCATGTCCATTGAGTTCCCCCTTGTCATGTCCATGGGCTGACCCCTGTCCTGCATGATGTTTTGATGGGGTCCACCGTGGTGAATGCCATGCGTCATGCCTTGGGGGATGACCTGAGTCAAGTTCTGCTGCATGAGATGGGACTGGTTGAGTGTGTTGGCAGTCATGAGGGAGCGGGTGGTCTGCTGAGTGTCCATGTTGTGAGTGACCACTTGTTGAGGAATGATGATGGTATGTTGGACAGAGGTAACCACTGGATCTTGGACAATCTGTTGCTGTGGAATTTGTAATGACTGCAGTTGGGGAGGAAAGGGCTGTTGCATTGCTTGAGGTAATACTGTCACAGGCACTGGCTGTCTCATACTTTGACCTTGACTTTCTTGACCTAGCAGAGTAAAATAACAATTAATTTGAAGGACCAACACCAAAAGTTAAAGGTTGATTTTTAATTATGAAATGACTCGTATATGGCCGTGACTGGTTGCATTTAAAATCAATCTTGTCTTTACGTGAACAAGTGGCAGTGTGATTTACATGGCTAAATGCACAAAAGGTTAAATAGGAGAAATGGCCACCGCCTTAGTGACTGGTTCAGAGGACATTGATACAATTTAAAAAAAAAAAAGAACTAAGTCTAAATTCCCAACTTTTCAGTAGTGCCAACCACAAGGGGATATTGCAACAATACATAAGCAAGTCACAAACAAAAACATGGCAGCAAACCTATTAAACACATGGGAAAGAAAAGTTCTCTGGAAAATATACGGAGAAAATAAGGATGAATATGGATAGAGATTACAAACCAACCAGGAATTATATGGAAGATATCAGATCCCACGATGGTAGCACCAATAGAAAAAGAAAGGCTGCACTGGGTGGGATACTTAGAATGAATGCCAAATGACAGAGGAGTGAAGAGGGTGCACTACCAAAACCCCAGAGAAACACAGCTCAAAGGCTTAGATGGATGAATAATGTGGAGAGGGATATACAGCAGCTGGGTTCCAAGTATGGAAAAGAAAAGCATCAGTTAGGTCTAAGTGGAAGGAAGTGGTGAGGCAGACCAAAACCCTACATGGGCTGTAGCCCCACAGGGATGGGCTGTAGCACCAGAGGGATGGGCTGTAGCACCACTGGGATGGGCTGTAGCACCACAGGGATGGGCTGTAGCACCACAGGGATGAGCTTTAGCACCACTGGGATGGGCTGTAGCACCACAGGGATGGGCTGTACACCACAGGGATGGGCTGTAACACCACAGGGATGGGCTTAACACTACTGGGATGGGCTGTACACCACAGGGATGGGCTGTAACACCACAGGGATGGGCTGTAACACCACTGGGAGGGGCTGTACACGACAGGGATGAGCTGTATCACCACTGGGATGGGCTGTAGCACCACTGGGATGGGCTGTACACCACAGGGATGGGCTGTAACACCACAGGGATGGGCTTAACACCACTGGGATGGGCTGTAACACCACAGGGATGGGCTGTAACACCACAGGGATGGGCTGTAACACCACTGGGATGAGCTGTAGCACCACTGGGATGGGGTTAACACCACTGGGATGGGCTGTAACACCACAGGGATGGGCTGTAGCACCACAGGGATGGGCTGTAGCACCACAGGGATGGGCTTAACACCACTGGGATGGGCTGTACACCACAGGGATGGGCTGTAACACCACTGGGATGGGCTGTACACCACAGGGATGAGCTGTAGCACCACTGGGATGGGCTGTAACACCACAGGGATGGACTGATGGTTTTCCAATGAGTGTATTACATACATTTCAGATTTTCTCTTAAGGGGGTGGGCTAATGAATCAACAGGCTTATAAATGAGTATGCACGTTAACTGTGTTTTTCTTTTTTCTATTTATCCAGTAAGAAGCCAATACAAAGAGTAAAATTTAAAATCAAGTAGTTTTGTTTTGAACTGATGAAGGCTTGTAGACAAAGCATAACTTGTATTCTAATGGAGGTAAAAAATTAATACTCTTTAACCATCGAACTTTGGTCAGCCGACGAACCAGCAAAATCGGCCGACATTCTCGTTCTGTGCTGTGGCGGCAGAAAAAAATCGGCCGGTAAAAAACACGGTCCGATAGCAACTTCCAATCCAATATTTAACAGATATCATAGCCACTTCCTTTTATTAATAATTAAATCAACTTCCAGGTCAAGCTGTTTCTTGATAACTTAACAATAATTACTTTTTAATCCGAATTTTATATCGCTGTTTTTTTTAAAGCTAAAATGGCCGAAGCTTTGCTCGGGCCTTCAGTGCGAGAACTAATATAGATATTTTTGAAAGCTTTTTAGGAGAGGATTTAAGTGATACAGATTATGATTTTAATATTCCCCATGACATCTCACTTCAGATTCTTCTTTTCGTGAATCTTATAATAGTCTTAGTGATACTGAAGTAGGCCCACTGAGGCTATTGTTTGACTTAGAGTCAGGCCCGGAGGTTGGGCAAGGACTGACTGAATTTTAGTCACAGAAGCTAAAGATTATAGATCTGAAATAATAAATTTGATATTTTAACAACCCAAATCAGTTCCACAGTTTCTTTTTAAATGTTTACTAGTCAATAATAACTATTTAGCCGGAGATTTTGTATTTTATACTTGGTTTTAGCTGTGGTCCCAGTTTCTTATATAAATGACCTAAAATTACTAAAATTGATTTCAGAGGTTTAATTGTAATCAAAACCTTAGCAAACTATACATTTTCTGAAAGATAAATGAATTGGCTACAACATTTATATTTGTGTTTTAAGTGTATCTATAAAAAATTAATGATGTTAAGAGCACTTGAAAGCAAGACATTGTGTCGATTTTTATTATCTTGAGCATTCCAAGGTCAAGGACACTGAGCAGAATTTTTTTTACGGGGTGGGCAATTCGGCCAACTTTATCCCCATCCATTTACCTTTCTAAAAATATATAATTATTGGGGTCTTGCATCAATATTTCTATGTCATTTAATGCAATTTCAAAAGAAACTCAAAAAGCTCTGAAAAGCCCCACACCACAGAATGATGCATGCCACAGTTCGAGGGTTAAGCAATACCAACACACATAGGAATATATAAATGTGTGTACATGTGCATAAGAGGGATGAGGTGAAATCTTTAAACATGAATATTGTAATATTCATTTACCTGTTTTAATTATTTTCCTTTTGTCTCTACTGGCTTTACATTTGTGTCCATAAGGGTTTTTGTAAGTCTTGCCACAAAAAGGACATGTTTTACTGAAACCGGCATGCTGTGCTTTGTGACCCTTTAAAGCCACTGATGTAGTGTAGACTTTGCCACAACCATCCACGTCACATTCATACTTCTGACCTGGGAATTTAATACAACTAAAAGAATACAATTTTTATTCTCTAATGCTAAATAAAATCTGGCACTTTTTAACATAAATACATTTCAGAAACACTTTGAAGATAAAATTACTCAATTTTTTTCTATGATGGACAAAAATAAAAACATTTCTAGTATTGAACATATCTGACTGGTTGTTATATTTTATTACAGAATTAACCAAATCATAAACTATTCGCAATCAGAGGTCATAATTAACTTTATAGTAACTATTGGCAATCAGAGGCCATAATTAACTTTATTATATAACAACTACTGGCAATCAGAAGCCATTATCAACTTAACTATAAACTACTTGCAACCAGAAGCCATATTTAACTTTATACTTTATAATAAACTATTGGCAATCAGAAGCCATAATTAACTTTATAATAACTATTGGCAATCCGAGGCCATAATTAAGTTAATCATAAACTATTGGTAATCGTTGGCCATAAAGCAAGATGAGTAATGAGGTTATTAAAACTGACCCAGATGTTTTCTCAAATGTGCCCTATGGCCAGTGTGGGAAGCAAAACTTGCTCCACAAATGTGACACACAAATGGCTTTTCTTTGGTGTGAGTGGGAATGTGTCTCTCCATCTCTCGACTGCTCATGAATCCCTTGCCGCAGAACCGACATTTCAATGGCCACTTGCCTGGACAAAATGGAAGCATTTTATAAACCAATGGACACAAATGATGATGATACCAAAAATAAGAAATAATAAACACTGAAATGTCTCACATTTATTAGCAGTCAATGTTTTCAAGTTCCGATTATTCAGAAATTAAATTGTTTTCTGGAATAGTATTTCTCATAATGGATGTCACATACAAAATGTCATCCAACTCCAGCACATGAAGGAGAATCAATAAAGGGGAATACTGATGTCAAAGACCTAAACAAACAATACACCAGGTGAGTTGACACATTGTAGGGGGCTTATTTCCATAAGCAGGATAGACCCCTCAGCATAAACAGCCCAAATCTTTCTGAGTTTCAATGAACGCCTTCCACGTAACAAACCCCTTCCACGTAACAAACCCCTTCCACGTAACAAACCCCTTACATGTAACAAACCCCTTCCATGTAACAAACCCCTTACATGTAACAAACCCCTTCCACATAACAAACCCCTTCCACGTAACAAACCCCTTCCACGTAACAAACCCCTTCCACGTAACAAACCCCTAGACAGACAGCATTAATATGCCCTGGATTCCCCTCAACACCCAGAATTTGAGAAGTATCATGGATACTATTGGTATGGATAAGCTCACTTAAAGTGTAATGATTACATTTTTAAAATTGCATCCAACTATTGAACACTTCTGAAATCTTAGCCTCTTTTTACTTCTTCTTCTGAATTCTTATGCTAACTGAAAAATGTAGGGGGCCATGATTTAGGCTTCTTTCAATTTGTTACATTTGTGGAAATAAACTAGCATGTATGACAATTAAATTATAAAATGTTAACAATTTCAATTGTTATTAAATAAAAATGGTGAAATAAAATTGAAAAAACTAAAGAAAATGTGCTCTTTTCCTACCAATCTTGTGTTTCTGCAACATATGAAATTTAAGACCACTGATGGTGGCATATCGCGCTCCACAGTGTTGGCACACTTGGGGTTTCCGAGGTTTGCCAAGGCTCTGAGACTTGAGATGGTTGTGGCGGCCTTTTTTACCACAGGTTGGGCACACATAATCTGGTCAATTAAAAAATCATTCAATTAAATGTGCAACAAAATTTACTGGCCATTATTGCCAAACACAGAACCCTGAGGTACATTAACACACCATTTACTGGCCATTATTGCCAAACACAGAACCCTGAGGTACGTTCACACACCATTTACTGGCAATTATTGGCAAACACAGAACCCTGAGGTACATTCACACACAATTTACTGGCCATTATTGCCAAACAGAAAACCCTGAGGTACGTTCACACACAATTTACTGGCCATTATTGCCAAACACAGAACCCTGAGGTACATTCACACACAATTTACTGGCCGTTATTGCCAAACAGAAAACCCTGAGGTACATTAACACACAATTTACTGGCCATTATTGCTTAACACAGAACCCTGAGGTACGTTCACACTTCTGATTTGCTGCAGCCACAAATTTCAGTGCAGAATCCCTCTTGATAATCCATGACACAGATAACAGTATCCCACTTAGGTGTTCACACTGAGCAGGCACAACTATGGCATCTGATGCAGATCTTTTGTTTATATTATACTAGAATAAATGACCCGATGTTATCGGATAATAATGGTAGGTCGTTTGAGATAATTTCTAACTGCTATTAGAAAAACTCATCACAATTCGTAACTTAAAAAAATTTAATGATATTTACGTTTCTGACATCATTAAAATTTATAATATATCTGCTATATATTATAGGCCTACCCTACTCCCTTTCACGCTCCTAAACTACTTTTTTCCCCTCTAAACATAACCTTAAATTACACAGTCTAAATTATCACTAATTATATCACTTTTGTCACTAAAGAAGTTAATTGAGGGACAATTACTACATTAGAGAAATACTTTAGATTTACCCCTTTTCGTGCCTTTGAATTACACATTTTTTTCTCTAAAAATTGTTTAAAAAAACTTACCTTAAATTTACACCAAAATCTCAATATATGATATAAAAATATTTTATATTATAGGAATTCAATATATATTGATATCTTCAGCAAAAATTTAAACACATTTTTGCCATTTAAAAAAAAATATATCTTATCAGAAAATCGTACAACACAAAATTCGTTTATCTAAAGAAGAATCACGCTACCGTTTTTCACATCGATAACAAATTTGAGTGTTGTTTTTTAAATTTAAATGGTTAATCTCATAAAATACACATCTCTTTAATTTTTGCAATGTAAAGACAAAAATATATTTTAATTTTTTGAAAGTAAATATTAACGCATCTCCATTTTTCAAAATTAATTTTTCAAGTGTGTAAAATGATTGGGTTTTGATATTCATGGGTATACTTATATAAATGTACCCAAGATTTGTTAACGCCATTGATTTTCTTAATTGGTAAACAAGTATATTTGTAAAAAGAGAAGGTAACATCTCTTTATTCACATATGTAATTCCATAGTAGTTAACTATGTTGTCAACCAAGTAAAAATGTACAAATCTTATTTCCTACCTACGACATGTATTTACCCAAGAAAATTAATTATTTATCAAAATTATTTCTTTATTTTGAGACGTATCTTGTGCTGCCTTGGGCAAAATGAACATACCTATATTTGTAAAAAGAGAATGTAACATCTCTTTTTCCCAAATGTAATACCATAGGTTTTAAATCTATTGTCATCCACGTGAAAATGTACAAATCCTATTTCCTACCTCCGAAATGTATGTACCCAAGAAGGTTAATTATTTATCAAATTCCTTCCTTTACTTTGAGACGTATCTTGTGCTGCCTGGGGCAAAGTAACCAACCCCTCCCTCACACAGATTTAAATAAATTAAGAAAACTCTTCCACCGGATTGTAGTCCTTTCCATACCCAAACTAAAATAATTTGCACTTCATATGGTTCGTTTGTTGTTTTTTTTTAGTTTTAAGTGGATTAGTCAATGCTATTTGGCTATGGAGTTGCGCTGCACTATTTGACTTAAACCACATTTTCTTATTAGAATTATATTTAAAGGTTTGTTTTTATTACGTTATACTTTTAATAAAGGTATATTTTTGGAATAAAAAAGGCAAAACTTTTTAAATATTGAAATAAACACAGCTGAAATGTGTGTGTGTGTGTTTTATTAATTTAAAAAGCAATCAATCGTATTTATTATTTTTACTTTTATGAAGGGAAAATACATTATCAGTTTTGTCATGCGCGGATATTAAATTTCAAGAAACCTAAGAGTTTTGGCGAAATAGGCTATTCACACTATGACTTCATTTGCTTCTTTTGCATGATTATTTTGAACAAATTAATTAAAAATTTTATTGTGCAATATTAACAACGCACTAAAAATGACTGATGTTTGGGTTTTCCCGATAAATATGATTACGGTGTAATTCTTTGATCATGATTTTTAATTTTTTAAAATTTTTTCATAACTTTTAAACACATATAAAATGCTGAAAATAGTTCCTTAGTTGATACTTTAAATGTATTTGTAATTTATAATAATAATACTTAAACGTTTACTAAAATAAAAGTGGATTTAAAATATTTTTTGCGCATTTAAATTTATTCGATTTCCGTAAAATATTATAAAATAACTATGATTGTTTTTAGGAATCCGAACGTATTTAAATAGTATCTCCCTTTTGGCATTATGTCACCATAGCTCATTCTTATATATATGCCAATTTTCAATTTATCCTCTATTGAAACGGCCAGCAACCTGCAGCTGAATGTGGCCATTAAAATAAATAAATTCTGATTTTTTTCTTTTAAATATGATTTTACTAATAACAACCCATGTAAGGTAAAATGAAAACATAAAATAAAATCTTTAATTAATTCCCTTTTTAAAACAAGACGTTGTTCCTCTTAAAAGATTTCTTATCTTGCCCACCCCAATAAAATTAACCTCGAAATTTATTTAGCAAATTTTAATCTTTCAACTACAAGATATGACTACTAGTACTATCCAATAAAACTAATAATTAAAATTTTTAAACAAGCAGATTTTAAATTCATTTTTTTTTTTGTGGCAACTCTATTTTCTAAATGGGCATTGATAAAAATATGAAGTGGAAATGGAGGTGGAAATATGCATATTTTTTGCTGATGTCATAAAAGAATTGATTAGAAAACTGATTTAAAAAAGGTTATTAGGTTTTCCAATACCAGGTGGTGTGCATATTATGAAACAAAATACCTGGCTTTTCATTGTGCTGCTCTTGATGATTATCAAAGTTTTCTTTTCGTCTGAACATCATGAAACACTTTTTGCAGGAGTGCTGTCTTCCAGCTGAGACAGCAGGGTCGCTCATGATGTGACGATACATGTGTTTCTTGACGGTGAAGACCGTCGCAAGGTATTTGCCACAACCGTCCCAAGGACACTTGAGCTTGCCATCTGAATTGAAGCCAATTTGTGCTCATTATGATATCATTAGAAGAAAATGAACAAGAAATTTGTTGATTTCTTTTCTTTCATGTACCGGAAAAGTACAATACAAAGTTTAAATCATAAAAAATTATATAATTCTATAATTTTTCTTTTAAAAAGATTTCTGACAATAAATTTCTTATTGGTCTCATAATTCCTATAGAGATTTTGTTTTGCCAGATAGAAGCCACTGTCTTATGAGCTGCTATTAATATTTTTTCTTTTCTACAAATTTGATTATGATGATCCCAGTACATACCAGGCTAAGAGTCATATCGTCAGATGCAAATTTTACCCTCAACAATGAAACACATTTGTGCACATCATTTTTTGACAATTTAGTGACATAGAAAACAAATACCACAAATAGCGAAATAATCTCAGTTGTATTTTTAAACATTGAAACACCATTCATATAATGAGACTTGGTGCTAAACAGTTCTTATGGAAATAACCAACCATAGTGAGACTTGGTGTGCCTGGAAAGAGTGATCATATTGTGGAAGGTTTCAGTACAGCCATTAAAATCACATCTGGCGGGAACCTTGATGTAGTGATAAAGGAAGTGATCGAAGAAGCCCGTGTGGTCCACAAATGTACCTTCACAACCAAGTTCTTCACAGGTAAATTTTGCCAATCTTGACAGAGATGGTTTGGCTGAAAACATGAAACGGGTGAGGACATGTTGTAAGTTTACAATCAAACTATTTTTTTTTTACTTATATCTTACAAATTTATTTCTACTGCAATAGTGGCTTCACATTAAATAGTATCTATTGATTTCTAAATGTTAACAGCCCTGAGTCAAAACTTTGTACACAGACTTCCCAAAAATCCTGAACACAAAAACCCAACAAAAAACACCCCCACCCGTTGCAACATTAAATGAAAAACAAATTAATTAACATTAAATGCCTGCATATATAAATTCTGGATAAATAGAAAATAATTTGAATTTTCGAAATATCTTGCGAGTCTAGCTTTCTTTAATATTAGAAAAGCTGACATTATATGCCAGAAACTGTTGTAGTTCTAGTCACTGCCAACCTTCCCCGCATTATCTGTTTACATTTATTCAATAATTTAAATGTTCCCTGAATGACCGTTAACATTAATTTAATAATTTAAACCTTCCCCACAAGATCCGTTCACATTAATTCAATAATTTAAACCTTCCCCGCAAGATCTGTTCACATTAATTCAATAATTTAAACCTTCCCCGCAAGATCTGTTCACATTAATTTAATAATTTAAACAATATTTAAATTCCTAACCCTTGAGGTAAAGTTGATATTTATATATATAAGTATGAGTTATAAACAAACCTGCTGCATCATCTCCGTGCAATCTCTTGTGAATCATCAAACCCCATTTTCCTTTAAAGGTCAGCTCACAAATCTCACATACAAAGTCAGAGTCAAAGTTGGCCCTCAGTGTTCGGCTGTGAGCGATGAAGTGCGGTTTTAAATGGCTGTTTTCACTGATCCAGTTATCACAGTTTGGCCAGGGACATTTCATCTTGTTTGCTGAAATAAGATGCAGAGAGTTGACACCAGGGACATTTCATCTTGTTTGCTGAAATAAGATGCAGAGAGTTGACACCAAGGACATTTCATCTTGTTTGCTGAAATAAGATGCAGAGAGTTCACACGGCTTTGGAGCAATACCATATATAGTAGTAGTTGATTTATTTAAATGAAACTAACTAAACATTTCAACTCCTGTTAATCTTACCATAGTGAACTTTGCTATGTTTGGCCAATTCCAGCTGATCATCAAACTGTTTATAGCAGCCCTCATATTCACACACAGACTGTTTCTTGCTGTGGTTCCACAAATGGTTGTCTAAATTTTTCTCTAAGTAAAATGTCTCTTTACATTCTCCTACACAGCATGTAAATGGTGGGTAATCTGAAGAAATAAAATAATATTAAAATGAAATATTAGAATTATAAAAAGCATTGAAATTCCAAACATAAATTTATAAATTTCATTCTTTTTATTAATGTAATAATTGTGTTCTTGGTTTTAGTTTTTCAGCAAATAAGTGATTTGACCTTAGGTTTAAGTTGAATGATAATAAAGACCAATTTATAAATCAACTAAATAATAAATCCAAACAAATAAGAACTGACCTATGTGAGTTTCTACATGCGCCTTCCTATCTTCTATTGCATTAAATAATTGGTCACAACCTTTCAAGTGACAAGGATATGGAGAAGTCTGAAATATCGAATACTTATTTAAGAATCAAGATTTTTTTTTTTCTTGTTTATTTAAATTATTTTTTTAAAAAATCAAGTCAAGTCAATGATAGGTTGGTTTCTCTGCAATTCTATAAGTTATAATGATGGTCGTTCAATAATATAGTTGCACCCAAGACGCATTCAATTACATTACAATCAGTACAAATTAGAATTGTCCAGAAACAACAGGAAATATTTTATAAAGTCCAGTCAAAAAATGTCTACCCTGTTTTGGGGGCCAATGTTCAAACTTTGCTTGCATCTTAATAGAGCCTAACAGCTCTGATTTGAAATACCTAGCTATAATACTTACTTCCTTCATTTCACTAATTGCTTTTTCACTGTGGTAAACCTCCTCATGCCTAGGAAGCTGTGTAATTGTAAGAACCATTCCACAGTGAACACAAATGCGCTCTATAAAGTCCAGCTCTTTGTTCCTTAAGGGGAGTAATCTCTTGGGTGTTTTCCCATGCTCCATCACCATGTGCTCCTCCAGCAAAGTTTTACGATTGAACTCTTTTAAACACCCTTCGTAATTACAGAAATATTTGACAAGTTCACGGCCCAATTTGTAATCACCACCTTTGTGCACTAGCTTGTTGTGACGATACAGCGTCGATCTGAATGAAAACCGTTTCCCACAACCTTCCACAGCACAGGAAAAGAAGACCCCGGGAAGAGCTTTAGGTTTTCTGCCCTTGTGTTGGTTCAGAACATGGGCTTTCATGTTTCCACGAGTCGTAAACATTTTTCCACAGCCTAGATATTCACATGGAATTGTTCGAGATGGAGGATTGGCTGCATGAGTCTCATTTTCTGAAAAATTAAATGGTGCCATAAATATGTTTTCATTAAAATGAATAGATCTTAGGGTGGCCCTACGGCACAATGGTAGGGCATCTGATCTCAGACTTGAAGGTGGGGTGTTTAAATAAGTGGTTGGTCTCACCAAAAGAAAACAAACCTTCAAGATTTGTCAAATAAATTTATATTTGAACAAATTTGTTAACAGAAACAAAGTAATATGTCTGTATCTAATTTCTTTAGCTCTCTTATGTTTTTGAAATATTTCTATTTTACAACTGTATTATCATTGCATACTTTGTGATGAAAATATTTAAAAAATCTCTGAAAAGATTAACTTTACTAAAATAATAAGTTATTTTTTATTTACTTGTTTATATTTTCCCCTTGACCTAAAATTATGACTGCATTTGGAGCAAAGTTTGAATGACTTTACTTGAATTTAGTTGGGTTCAATGTAAATGAAGATCTATATTTGTACGTTCCACTTACTTAAATGTATTTTATAGTGTACATCCAGATATCTCTGACAACTGAACTTTTTGCCGCATTTCTCACAGAACAGAAGTCTCTCTGGTGAGTGGCTACAAAGGTGAATCTCTAACTTTTCCTTCTTGACAAATGACTCCTCGCATCCATTATACGGACACTTATGGCAGCCAGGTGTGCCCACTGCATAAGATAACAAGGACACTTATAACAGCCAGGTGTGCCCACTACATAATATAACAAGGACACTTATAACAGCCAGGTGTGTCCACTACATAAGATAACAAGGACACTTATAACAGCCAGGTGTGCCCACTACATAAGATAACAAGGACACTTATAACAGCCAGGTGTGCCCACTGCATAAGATAACAAGGACACTTATAACAGCCAGGTGTGCCCACTACATAAGATAACAAGGACACTTATAACAGCCAGGTGTGCCCACTACATAAGATAACAAGGACACTTATAACAGCCAGGTGTGCCCACTACATAAGATAACAAGGACACTTATAACAGCCAGGTGTGCCCACTACATAAGATAACAAGGACACTTATAACAGCCAGGTGTGCCCACTACATAAGATAACAAGGACACTTATAACAGCCAGGTGTGCCCACTACATAAGATAACAAGGACACTTATAACAGCCAGGTGTGCCCACTACATAAGATAACAAGGACACTTATAACAGCCAGGTGTGCCCACTGCATAAGATAACAAGGACACTTATAACAGCCAGGTGTGCCCACTGCATAAGATAACAAGGACACTTATAACAGCCAGGTGTGTCCACTGCATAAGATAACAAGGACACTTATAACAGCCAGGTGTGTCCACTACATAAGATAACAAGGACACTTATAACAGCCAGGTGTGCCCACTGCATAAGATAACAAGGACATTTATAACAGCCAGGTGTGCCCACTACATAAGATAACAAGGACACTTATAACAGCCAGGTGTGCCCACTACATAAGATAACAAGGACACTTAAAACAGCAAGGTGTGTCCACTACATAAGATAACAAGGACACTTATAACAGCCAGGTGTGCCCACTGCATAAGATAACAATTAAAAAAAGTAAGACCAGAGTTCTCAGATTCATCATTCTTTACAATACAATATAAGCCCGCTCCTTTTGAAATCAAATGATGCAATATCTTGCTTTTAAATATGACAGATACACTAAGTTAATTCCCTTTAACCATCATTTGTTTAATATTAAAACAGCTGATGTCCCAGTAAAGTAACCCCAAAAATACGTAACAAATTTTATGAGTTGAGAATTAGCCAGTTAAATAACCCTTTCTTTACCCTGCAGTAACATTTAGTTGTTAGGTGATATTTGCAAAAAAGATCACTCACTGCCGTGAATTCTACGTTTATGTCGAAGCAGACACTTTTCATTTTTGTATAACCTTCCACAAATGTCGCAGCCCAGTATTTTGCTCTGCGTGTGAGTGGCTCTGTGACTGTTCCTTTCTGAGATGGTGAAAAATGTTTTGGTGCACCCATCAACTGTACACTTGTGCGTTTTTTCGCCTGAAGATGACATGGCTGTTGACAAGCATGGAAGTTATGTGGTCAACTGAGCATGAACACAGAGAGATAAGAAGGGAGAGGGTGGGAGGGAATGAAAGAGAACAAGTTACAATTAGTATACTCATAACATTAGATATGATATGATTGATTAGGTCTTAGAGTGCAAGGTTCTGTAATTAGAGAGTGTAAACTTATCTTCGAGCTATAATAGTAATTAAAGCAGCGAATTACCATTTTGTTGAATGAAAAAAAAAAAAATAATAATAAAAAATTTCTTTGCTAATATGTCTGTTCATTTTAATTTATCTGGTATATATGTATATATCCAAATGTCATCCTTCTGTCTTTGCAGAACAATGGAATAGCTATTGACACTTCATCAAATGCCTTATGAGGCTGATCATGTAATGGTAGTCTCTGCCGCATTTCTTGCAGAACCTTGACTCCTGGTTAAGTTATGCCTTGCGTAATTCTCTTTTTGTTCCAAAGGATTCATTGCGCCCATCTTCTGCCTTTTTGACTCCTTCATTCACTGCTGTTTGACTCCTTCATACACTGCTGTTTGACTCCTTCATTCACTGCTGTTTGACTCCTTCATTCACTGCTGTTTGACTCCTGTATTCACTGCTGTTTGACTCCTTCATACACTGCTTTTTGACTCCTTCATACACTGCTGTTTGACTCCTTCATACACTGCTGTTTGACTCCTTCATACACTGCTGTTTGACTCCTTCATACACTGCTGTTTGACTCCTTCATTCACTGCTGTTTGACTCCTTCATACACTGCTGTTTGACTCCTTCATACACTGCTTTTTGACTCCTTCATACACTGCTGTTTGACTCCTTCATACACTGCTGTTTGACTCCTTCATACACTGCTGTTTGACTCCTTCATACACTGCTGTTTGACTCCTTCATATACTGCTGTTCACCATTCGTTGAATTCTGTATTGGCTTCCCTCATGATCCTTTTGCAAAATTTCCCTAAATCTGTAGCCACGGCCGTCCAATTAGTTTTGCCGCTTCTGCTAATTCTCCATACTGAAGGTACCTTCCTCCATTCTCCGTACATGGCCTAACTAGCGAAGGCACCTCTTGCTAAGAGCAGAGAACATGTTATACATTAGGCATGCTCTGAAACAACTGTGTTAGGCACCTGGGCCTGCCATTAATGTTCCAAATGCCCCGCAGACATCTTTGGTGGAAGCTGTTGAGCTTCCACTCATGACTGGCATATGTGCTGCACTCATCACTGCCATATAGGAGAGTGAACTAGAGATATTGGACCCAAGGTATGTAAAAATTATCAACTACCGACAGATGGCCATAAATAGATATTTTTTGGAGGGGACTGTGCTTCTTGCATCAAGACAATTTTTTTTATAGACTAATGGTCAGTCCAAACTCTTTACATGAGTGGGAGTGGTGATTAACTAACTGTTGAAGACCTTCTTCTGTGTGCCATGTTAAGATGTCATCATCAGCAAACAACAGTTCATGATTTTAGCACCTTTTTAACCTTGGTCTTTGCACAGAGGCAGGAGATATTGAACAGCCTACCATCAGATCTGTATTCTTCTGGTATAAGACATAATTATTGATTGTCCCATGTAAGATGACTTACTACAAACTTACTGTATGTACTTGTTCTAAATCCTGTTTGTTCATAAGCTGAGGGTTGGCAGACGAGAGCCTTAAAAGTGTCTGTCAGTGTATCACCTGCTTGTATGCCGACCTCATTAAATAATATGCTGGTGTTATTAATACTTTTTACATTTTTATATTTTTTTTTAAAAATCCAGAATTTTAACTTAAATATGTGTAAGTGAAAGACTTAAAAACTATCGTATTTATTGGCGTATAATACGCACTTTTCTCCCTGAAAATAGGGGGAAAATGATGTGTGCGTGTTATACGCCGATATAATGTTTAGTTTTTTTTTCCCTGAAATTTCCTTCTTAAATTGAGGTGCGTGTTATAAGCGGGGGCGCGTTATACGCTAATAAATACGGTAATTAACATACTGTATAATGTACATCACAGGTACTCGCAGCTTAGAAAAATGTATGTGGTTGCCTTGTCTTTCCATGCATGTTTTCAGCTAAAAATCTCAGTTCGCCTAAGTGCAGATTACATTATGCTGTTTAGTAACTGGTATTAAATGTAGGTCAGATGCTGGTATCAAACCTTATCAAAATGAGAGATCCTTTGACCTTTCTAAAAATAGATTGAAAATGCTTCTACAATCTAATAAATATGACAATCTGACATTTCATTTTTCCATTTAGATCCTTGATACTTTCTAAAAATAGCCAATCACGACAGTCATAAAATGAGAACAAATCTTGTAAACTAATATTGCACACAGCTTTACAGTGACTTCAGTTAAATACTTTTTCCATCATAGTCTTGAATTATTCATAAGGTACGTAAAGAAAATTATAAAAATCTCTTAGCACTATCTCATAAGCCGCCCCCCCCCCAAAACATATATATTACAGTACATGTGTCAAACTCAAGGCCCGCGGGCCACATCAGGCCTGCTGTACAATCATATCAGGCCAGCGAGGTCTTGACCGGCGTATAATTATATCCAAGTCAACGCTATGGTGTTTCCCAATGCACACTTTGCTGAAAAACTTAGCTTACTTCGCGCCATGTTTGCATGGCACTTCAGTGAATTTGAAGCACAGAAAAGTAATTTCAAGCTATTTGGTAACCTATTTGTCATAGTTGTGGAAATTGCACCTGTAAATTTGCAGATGGAGCAAATAGAGCTGCAGTGCGCTAAAGGCAAAGTACGACACAGTTGGGCCTGCACAGTTCACAAAACAGACAGCAAACATTTGTTTTTTTTACCTGTGTGTCGACATCTGTGCTTAGTTAAATCCTTGCTGTCTTTGAAACTCTTTCCACAAGCAGGTTCATCACATAGGAATGGCCTTTCTCCTGTGTGTGAGCGAATATGTATATGAAGGGATCGTGGAAGTTTAAAAGCTTTGGTGCAGTCTGGAAAACCACATACATAAACCAGGTCTGTGCCATGAACCAGTTTATGTTCCTGTAGATTAGATAACAATTCATTATTATCAAGCGGCAGCCGCTCTAGTGCCTTAATAACAATGTTCATAGAAATTAAAAAGATTATGAATCGACTTAATTTGAATAAATATGTAATAAACATAACTCTTTACATACTCGTAGGAATTCTTGATTTGTGAAAGCTAGATCACAACCTCTGTGGCGACATTTAAAAGGATACATTTCTGAAATAAATTAAAGTCACGAGTATATGTAATGAATCTTTCAAAAGTAATCTTTCAATACTCCAACTTAAAAAACATAGTTCAAATAGGTATGTAGGGTGGTTCAAATAATCATAGATCAAGTGGGTATGTAGGGTGGTTCAAATAATCATAGATCAAGTGGGTATGTAGGGTGGTTCAAATAATCATTGATCAACTGGGTATGTAGGGTGGTTCAAATAATCATAGATCAAGTGGGTATGTAGGGTGGTTCAAATAATCATAGATCAACTGGGTATGTAGGGTGGTTCAAATAATCATAGATCAACTGGGTATGTAGGGTGGTTCAAATAACCAGCATTTGAAGTAGAATAGTAATTCTGAAGTGATAACATCATAGTGAGATCATTACAAGTGGCATAAGAAGTATCTTGTTTGTCTGTTCGAAATATGTACATTTTCAGTACATAGAACAGCTTTAACATCCAGCTTGGCAGTAGGTGCATAGAACAGCTTTAACATCCAACATGGAAGTAGGCACATAGAACAGCTTTAACACCCAACATGGCATTAGGCACATAGAACAGCTTTAACATCCAACATTGCAGTAGGCATATAGAACAGCTTTAACATTCAACATGGCAGTAGGCACATAGAACAGCTTAAACATCCAACATGGTAGTAGGCACATAGAACAGCTTTAAAATCCAACATGGCAGTAGGCACATAGAACAGCTTTAACATCCAACGTGGCATTAGGCATATAGAACAGCTTTAACATCCAACATGGCAGTAGGCACATAGAACAGCTTTAACATCTAACAGGCATGGTGGAAGACACCAGCAGCAAATGTGGAGGTACTTTTCCTAAGAACATAAGTGTCAACTCTAAAAGTTCCAGATAGTCATCTTGAGGTAGAGTGTTAGGCTTATTTTGCAGAACTTTTAGTACAAACTCAATGGCTTGATTTTTAAGCACCAATATTATTTTGATGTAGCTTAACATATTCACGTTTCATAATTTGACTTGCCTATATTTTGCCAATAGTCTTAAAATCTCTTAAAAGTCAATACATTGTGGCCTGATGTTGAGCCGAATAAGGATTTGAGTAAATCTCCCCAAAGAACTTCTAGAATTTGTTATCTGCATGGCAACAATAGCGACATTTTGGTCAGCCTATTTTGCCAAAAAAATACAAGAACCATTCAGACGTCCTGTATTGACAACTGTTGTGTCAAATGACAAACGTCGTGTATTGGCAGCCCTTTGTGTCAAATGACATAGGTCGTGTATTGGCAGCCCTTGTGTCAAATGACATAGGTCGTGAATTGGCAGCTGTTGTGTTAAATGACATAGGTCATGAATTGGCAGCTGTTGTGTCAAATGACATAGGTCATGAATTGGCAGCTGTTGTGTCAAATAACATAGGTCATGAATTGGCAGCTGTTGTGTCAAATAACATAGGTCATGAATTGGCAGCTGTTGTGTCAAATAACATAGGTCATGAATTGGCAGCTGTTGTGTCGAATAACATAGGTCATGAATTGGCAGCTGTTGTGTCAAATAACATAGGTCATGAATTGGCAGCTGTTGTGTCGAATAACATAGGTCATGAATTGGCAGCTGTTGTGTAAATGAAATAGCAAACACTCTATTCTGAAGTTCCTGCTCAGTGATGGTGTTAAATACAGACTGTGAAAATTGTTATTCAGCTTCACTAGCAACCTTTGGAACTCTAAACAGTTTTTCCCTTTTTGAATAAGGTTTGTATAACATAGAACTAATAGTCAACTGCTGACTGGGACCACTTGGCTCTATAAATGCCATTCACAATATACTGTGAGGCAGTATTTACACGTCAATTAGTTAGCTATATTAAATTAATTTAACAATAATATGGGCATTTACGAGTGTTGGGCTAATCTTAGAGGGCTGTCAGGCAGTACTAAATGAAGTGCATCTGAACTGATATTTTGTGCAGGGACTACTGACATGAAAAGGGAAATTAGAGTGTGTTTGAATTTCATTATAGTCACATGTTGTAAACCACCCTAGCATACACATACAAATAATGTGAAAGAAAATTCTACCAGCGCATATGCAACAAAGTTAACAAACATTTAAAAAAAAATTTATTTAAAAAATATTCAAGAGTTGAACCTATATTTTTGTTGGGGTATTTTTTCTGGTCAAGGCATGCTCCAAGTTAATGCGCATTAAAAATACCACATTTCTATTTACCTTTGTCGAGTTCATCATTTTCAGCTAACATAGACATCTTCTGCGCAAAATCACTTTCCTCTTTTGTTGCACCATCTGACACAAAAAACAAAATGAATATCCTTTGATTTATTTAGGTGGCTGAAACTATCTAGGTGTTAATTGATTAGCTTTAAAAATCTGTAACATATAATTAAGTATGCGCTGAAAGTAAATTAAAACTGAAATATTTCCCATAACATATGTAAAATAAGCCCATAAAATTAAGAAATCCGAAAGTTAACTTTAATTGATGTACTAAGTAATTCAGTGAGGCAGAGTTTTTGCCAACAAATAGCACATTTCATCCTAAAATTGTCTAAATATTCACCATTCAGCACCAGACAAATTTCAATTTATTGTCTGGAATTAAGCCTTCTGAGAATATATTTACAGAATAGGACGACCAAATTAATCACTTACCATAATGATAATACTTTAAATGTACAGCCATATGAGACCAGAGGGGATAAAAATGATCACAGTTATTCATGCTGCACTTTATCATTATCCGTTCTGGCATGTTCTTCTTCTTTTCACTGATACACTTCTTGGCCTGAAATATTATTAGCAACTGATTGAAATATGAAGACCAGATTTGCTATTATCTCAACATGCACACATATCTCCTCAACAATTTTTAAAACCAATTATTCAATTATATTTCACTTTCAATGACAGAAATAGGGAAAAGGGAAAAGTAACTGAAGCTTCACTGAAGAAAGCATCTGACATAGAACAAACAAATGCATTTGGTGTGGATCAAACAAAAGAATTTCCAGAGTAGAAACCTAACTCTGCAGACAACTTCTTTAGAAACAGCACATGGACAGAAGTGGCATTCTTCGACTATTGCTTCAAGAATCTGATGGCCCATAAAGACTGAAGGGACCGAGTTTAAAATACCTTTTTCTTTAAAATCGACATTATTATATACATCAACATTTAGAGCTTTCAATATCTTTCACAGAATAACCATAAGCTACAAAGTAGATGCAATAATTTTATGACAACAGTAAATAATTAGTCTTTTTAAAATAAATTTAAATAAATAAAGAAAGATTGTTCCTTACCTTTTGGACAAGTTCTCTCAGTTTAGATTTGGAATTTGCACTCAACTCTTTAGGTATATCTACTTTCAAAGCATCCCTTGCTGTTTTAGGTTCATCATACATACCATGAACAGCTGACTCTTCACTTTCATGTTTCTTCCTTGCAGCCCTGGTTTCAGGTTTTAATTTCTTGGATTTGGAATCAAACTGTTTAATATTTTTATGCCTCTCAAGCTGAGTTTTTCTGGTGGACTTTTTATTATTTATATTTTTATTGCTGAACTTTGTTGCCTTCGCGTTACTGAAGTCCTCTTCAGAACTATCTAACGCCTTAGACTTGCCAGAACTGGTTGAAGGTGGGATATAGTTATCATCGCACGCTGACACATCAGAAGTAAGCCCAGAGTCTGAACTTTCTGAAGCCTCTTTTTTTCTCTTCCAACCTCTTAGCACAGCTAAGCGTTTACTTTCTCTCTGAGGCTGTACTTTTAGAGTTCTTTCAGTAAATAAGGCAGCACAAGTTTTTCTAAGTCTTCTGCTTGAGCCGCTGCCAAAACGTTTAGTCTTATCGCTTACGTCACTGGAGGGATTGGCCGACGTATTAAAATTTTGCTCCGATTTCTGTAAAGACTCTTTAGCCAGTTTCTCATGCTCTGATGATTCATAAGCCAAACCTTCATTTTTCTCTTGCCCTACCAGTCCTGAAATTTAAAAATAATAAATTTCAAAAGACAAACATAATTTTCTTATGTCATGAAATTAGTTCTGCAAAGCTTATATTTTTCAGGAATTGTTAATATAAAATTTTAACATCGAAATAATCACTCTTAAAGTCACTAGTGTTACTAACTGAGAGAGTTCCATGGCAAATGAGAGTTGTGAGTTTTGCACTTGAGAAATAATTTTTTTAAATTTTTTTTTAAAAATGTCTAGTGTTAAATTGTTTATTTATCTGCTGAAAATGAATATTTACATAGTATCAAAATAACATTTCTAGCTGTTTGAATCAATCAAAGAATCTTCTTATAATACTACAAAAACTGTTTCAGCTATTTTCAAAGTATTTTTGAAGCAGATTTAGTCTTTTATAAACTACTGCTGAACATCATGGTCATAATGAATTTACCTGAACTTTCACTCTCCTTTGGAAAATTGGTTGCTTTAATATCATTTGGATAATTATCACTGGTGAAGCTGTAGAGACTTGCAGACTGAATCTCATTTTCATCCTCTTCATCATGTCTGTCAATAGTCTCGAAAGCTTGATCGAAGCTTCCATTACTATTACAGATTAAAGACTCTACTTCTGGGGGTAACACAGTTCTCTTGTTTTCAATATTAGGAGTAGTATATGAAATCGTGGGTCTACTCGTTTCATGTTGTGATAATTTGTTGCTTTGGGCGGACGACTTAAATTTGTACCCTTGAGTAAGTTTTAATTTATTTCTTCTATCTGATAGACTAGTTGAATCAGCAGGTTTTGCTATCCACTCTGCTCTAGAAGGTTTATAAAGTTTGATGTTGAGTTTCTTTCCAACAAGGCTCTGAACTTTTGATATCGTTTTGGGAATTTTTCGAATTGTTACAAAACAGATGTTACATAATCTGGGATTGATAAAAACTTTTTCGTCATAAAGTATTTTGAAATCCTGTGGCGGTAAGAGAAGTTTTAGTTTTTCCCTTATTTCATATTTGTTACATTTTGTTCCATGTAGAAGTGGACTCTTGGGGCGCAAGGTTTGCCAACATATGGCACATTTTGTCCTAAAATTGTTTAAATCCTTCACCATTTTATCTTGTGTTTCTATCAGTTTATAGAAAACCTATAGGCCTGGAGGAGAAAGATAAGTAAATTTTATTATAATTATGACGTTTTAATAAATCTAAACATGCATTTAATTATATTGATTACATCTGATATTCAGACATAAATAAAATAATTAAACAACAAAACTTTAATTTTTTTTTTCCTCTTTAAAAGAGAACAGCAAAGGCAGAGTTAATGACAAAATTATGTGTCATAATTTTAAATTTGAACATTTATAATGTCCTGGTCTTTTAAATTAAAAAAAAATGCTCACCTTTTATTTATAACTGTTATTAAGTCTTGTGAGAGTTATATTCATTCTGCCTCATAGTTAGCGATTACAAACACATGTAAAACACACTTAATATTGAAAACAAAGCCATTCTAATTCTGGAGGCAATTCAACTTTAGGATTTAAATGGTAATTTACATTCAGTGGCCACTCATTTCCCCTGGCCACCATGTTAGCAGGGTTGTCATGGCAACCAAGATAGTGGCTGTGTTAAAAAAAAAAAAAGAAAAGTAGTGCAAAAATACGTCTGCTAAAATAGGGAGGGGAAGGAGAGAGAATGTGCTGTTTTAGCTACTTATAAAGAGAAACAAAAATTATGAACAAAACATTAAAACTAAATAAAATAACTTTTTGATAAATTTTTAAATGTTATAGTTATATAATATAATTAACCACCCAAAGAAATATTAATTTGAAACATTCCATCTACATTTTACTATTAAAAAAATGTAAAATTAACTCTTGTAAATTAGCTGTTTAGTAAGTAATGTCTATTAATAGTATTATTAATACTTTAAAATTTTAGAATTATTAATATTATTATGCAAAGGTTCATGTCATAGACTGTTACTGTAGTAGCAGTAGTAGTCGACTAAGTTGTCTATTGACCAACTATTGAACTCTATTGTTAGTACTACCACTATTAAACTATAATCGTTATACACTATTGACTATTAGTATTACTATTTTTAGTATGAAGTGGCTATTTGGACCTGGGTATCAGAAATGAGAGGTTGGGATTAAAAAATATTTTAAATAATATTGTTGGGTTTGTAAGAAAAAATTTGGTATCAAATCACCCCCAAAAGATAAATGAATGGAGCATATGTTTGTAAACTTACTTCTTCAGTTTATCTAAAATAAATTACCACAAATGACATCCAAATAGTATATAGTCTAAAGGGACCCGCTCCGAATAGTGGTTATGTGTGGCCAGGTCCCTTTAGACCATGGGCCTCAAACTCGCGGGCCATTTACGGCCCGCAAGACGATATTTTGCAGGCCGATACCTGACAGCAAGACGATATTTTACAGGCCGTGCGTTGTCCCATTCTCATATCTATAATGTGACCCCCCGCAACGGTTTCAGTCGAATCTCACCTACTAATCAAACTCTGATTTTATTATGTTTGTATAGGTTTGGACATTAAATATAATGGTGAAAATCGTTTTAAAATCGGACTAAAAGTTTTTATTTTATAGCATTTTATGAGACAAACATGGCCAAAGTGCGGTTTTGAGAAAAGTAGCAAGTAATGACAATCATAATTGTATAAATCGTTGCAATCTGATACAGTATCAAAGAATCTCTTGTTAAAATTGCAGCTAAAATTCCGAGCCTTTCAGCTTGATCACTTTCAAAATAGGTTTAAGCAAATAAAGGCCTTTTCTACGATAAAAAAATTAAAATTCATTCTACCTACAATAGCATCTTCCTTCCTATCAATAATTCATAAATATTGCCTGCTCCTGCTTGCCGTTGGAACAAGTTTTAGCCTTCAAAGCCTTCATGGAGAAGGTTGGGGTGGTTGTTCCTGTTCTAAGTGATTCCAAATGGCTCATGGTCTTGGCTTTTTGTTGACATTAAACAGGAGCTGAATTACTCAAGACCAGGGGTAGCTTGTCAGTGTTGCCAATGACAGGGCATTCTGCACAAAACTTGTGTAATGGTTCTTAGAGAAACCCATGCCATTTCCCAACATGCAAAGTCCTCATGAGTACTTGAGCACACCATTCAGTAGTAAGTATACTGATGCCATTGCAAAGCTACAGGCAGAATTTGAGCACATGTTTGCAGATTTCAAAACACACAGAGCAACTTTTCAAATTTTTGCTGACCCTGTCTCCTTCAATGTGGAAGATGCAACACCCCCCCCCCCTTTTTTTTTTCACATACACACACACATTTGTGGGTCAAATGGAGCTGACTGAACATCTGAACTCAAGGCAAAGTTAAGGGACGTGAATGGAATAATAGACATGCTTGGACAATTTATGAGAGAAAAGCCGTCCACCTTCCCCGAGATTTCCAGATTTTTCAAGCGGATCATGTGGCTTTTTGGGTGTACCTATCTGTGTGAAAAACTCTTTTCCAATATGAACTTTAACAAGTCAAATTCAGGGTCAAACTTACTGATGAGCATCTTCAAGTGGTAATCTTGCAGTTCAGGCGCCTAAAGTTTTTGTGATCGAATTTCGTACCATCCCATATAAACTTACATAATATATTCTTCATTAATTTAAATCCAGACAGTGATAGTTAACTAATACTGAAGTATACAGCACTTATTTCATTTTTATTTTATTTCTAAAGCGTCTTTGAACATCCCCCAACCTTCCATGGCTCCATTTGTTTTGTATTTTTTTTACCCTGTTGCTGAGTTTTGATCATCTATAAGTTAGTATGCTAAAAGAAATTTTCAAACTGTAGGCATGTTCACAAAAAGAATGAAATATGGGGAGGGGGTGGGGAATTTTAACTAGAACTTAATTAGATGTTCCGTTTTTTTTTATTGTGGCCCAAAATTCATTTTTTTCTTATAAGGGGTGTATGCATGGGCATGGGTGAATGGAACGAGATCAAACTTAGTACACATACATTTTATTATCCATATTTAACTCATTCCCGACGTTTGCGACTAAATGCGTCTTTTCGGGATTCGCCGGATGCGTCCAAATGCGTCCCGGCGCATAGCGACACACCTCTCTCATATCTATTTAAAAATAGCAATGAAATCTCGCATCCCTCGAGACTTCCGGCGATGGCGTGGTTCAGCGTGATTTTAATTTAAAAACCAGAAGTTTTTATCTTGTTTCGCTTTAAAACTACGTGTGCTAAAGTACGGCGCGTCTATATGTAGCATGTGTTCGTCCGAGGTGCCGAAAATCGATTTTTTGGTCATTGTTCATTATTTTTTCCCCGCTAATGTTATATTTATATTAAACCTTATTAATTTTTTGTTGCATTTGTTCTTAATTCATTAACATTAAATAATATTTAGTAGCTTAAATACATTTTTTAAAAAATGTAAACAATTTCAAAACGGGGTTACTTCCCTTTCTCAGGCAAATAAATTAAATACGGAAGTAGCACTGCAGGAGGGAATGAGTTAATAACCGGTAGTGAAGGATAATGAACTCATAATTTTAATTTTTTCTAAAACTAGCCAATATAGACGGTGTTGCTCGTGATGGCATTCGGGGAAATGAACATCTTTAAAAGCCCTTTAGGTACCATCCAAATTATGGGGCCCGTTTTTAGTAAATATGATTATAGTTGAAAAATTAAAATTGCAATCTGACAAGTAGGGTGAATTTTTAAAAAACAAGAAAATGGAGAGATCGTTTACGCTATGGAATATGTATATCTACCAATGGGGGCTGTAAAAATCAATAAAAAGAAAAGTTAGTGCTGTACTATTTAGTGTTAGAGTTACATAATACTGTCTGGACTAAATTTTCTAAAGAATACACTTAAGTCTAAGTTTACACGCAATAATACGAAATTCGATCAGAAATAATATGCATAACTGAACTGCAAGATTACCCTTCAAGCTATACTGTGGGTCTCAGCTGCCAGGTAACAAGGAGTAGGAAGAAGAAACTTTGACTTTGAAAGTACAGCCTAGTTCTCGAGAACACTTATATGTTTTTATTTGTTATTAATAAAGGTTGAGCAGATGGTAACAGTTGTACTTTATCGACTTTATAATCGCCTTTTTGTGGAATACTTGATGCAGCCCAGTCTCATTCAGACTCTACCACCTGCGTCACCTTCCACCCCCCCCCCCCCCCATTTGAGAGTTAATTGAGACCCCTGCTTTGCATTCCACTTAATTGACTAAACTAAGTGCCAAATGCAGACCCGTTTACTTTTACAATTTTGGCATACAGTGTACGATTTTGAGGTGTATACATTATATATATGTTTTATTTTTACTATTAAGATGTTGTTTTTAACGATTTTGTGATGATATTGTCAAATATTGTACAATTTTAAGTTTGAAGGTAAACAGGGGTGCAAATGCTATTCGGATGTCATTTGTGGTAGTTTATTTTAGTTAAACTACAGAAGTAAGTTTACAAACATATAGTTCATTCAATGATCTTTTGGGGGTCATTTTATACCAAATTTTACCCAATAATAATATTTTTAAATAAACCCAACCTCCAGCTTCTGATAAATAAAACTTATACTAATACTAACTTAATAATTAATACTTCGCAGCCTTTCTATTTCTAGTTATTAATACTTTTAGTTTTAGCGCGTTCATAAGCCAACATATATAATTTTTAAAACTGAATTTATACCACGATTAAAATGCATAATAAATGAAGATTTTAAAAGGGATAACATTAGCCTTTGACAACTTTGTTTCATTAGTGATGAACGAATGAAAAGAATTAGGCCTTCAAATACCGATAATTCATTTATTGTGGCGATCACTATCATTGTTCTTCAGTTTCCGGTACCAGACTTTTAAAATGAACTTTATTTCACTTTATATACATAATCATATTTGTATGCAAAATTATATTATAAAAATTGTTTTGATTTAACAAATAAAAAAAAACTGTTACTATACCAACATTTGACACAATTATTTAAGTAAAGTAATGATTTCTTAAGATTCTTTCTCTCTATTTTTTTCTTCTTCAGAGTACAGCAGTACAGCCTGGCATATTTATCTTTTGACGGTGATTGACTTTAATTATAAACGAAATGGGTGTCATTAGAGATTTTCCCCCTTAAATATTTATGTTTTTAATCTCTAATCTAATAAGGCTTGATATTTAAAATGTACCGAAAAACGTTATTTTTAAACAATCAACTTGGAAAAAAATCTTATGGGAGCTTTTTAAATATTTATTTTAAAGTCAATAAACATTTTACCCCTTAAAATTCTTGCATTTCAAAGTTTGTATCACAAATAATAATTCTCTACTACTGACCCAAGCCCAAGTGATAGAAAATAGAGGCATGTATTATTGGGTGTAACGCTGTGTTCAATGTGTTACTAAATATAAGATAAGATAAGATGCTTTTATTAATCCAATTAAATGGAAATTTATTTTGATTGCATTGCACATATTGTTTTGGAAAGTCCTTGAGAATTTGCTGTTGCCCAAAATTGGTCAGCAGCAAAGCGTTAGGTGAATCATTGTGTGGTCAGAATAGCTGTAATGTTCTTGAGTAAATCATCGTATAGTCAGAATAGCTGTTCAATTTCTGAGTGTATCGCTGTGTGGTCAGAATAGCTGTTATCTTTTTGAGTGCAAGTATGCATTTGGAACCGAGTATGAATTTGTTCGAACTGGTTGATATTTTACAAATTGAAATGAAATGAATACAGTGTATGTAACTTTTGTGACTTCAAGATATCAATGACTTGGACAGAAGTGTCTGTTTAGGTGTGTTTTGCACACCCTCTGTCCAGGGCCGGCCTTAGATAAACTTGCGCCCTGTGCAAAGTCCCCATTCGGCGCCCCCTTCCCTGCATGGCTCCGCTCTTTTCCTTTGATGGCGTAGGCTAAGGAGCACGTGTTATGATGTTATGACGGTGTGACGAAGAAGAGAAAACCAAATACACACGCTGTAACACTCCAAACAGCATCGTGGGTTGCTTTGACGAGCCTGCAGCATCTGCAACCCCAAAGTTCAAACTGTGTCAGGCCCATGGTACAAAGACCGTGGATTAATATTTAAAGTCCTTGACGGGACTCGTGAGTTCTTACCGATCATGTTTGCATCGTTGTCGTAGCACTGGCCACGACAGTCCTGAATATTTATGCCATAACTCTCCAGCTGTCGCAGAAGTGTCTCAGTAAGGTATTCGCCCATTGTCGAATCTACGCTTTCATGGCCGACAAAGTGTTCTATTATTCTTACATCTCCGATGTTGTCGTCAACGAAGCTGACAGTAAACGATAGCTGTTCTTTGTGACTTAAATCACGTGTAAAGTCCAAGATGATGGAATAATATTTGAATTTTTTTAATCGCCTTAGTATGTCAGATAAGACATATGTGGCCATGAGGTCTATCGATTCGTTTTGAATAGATTTTTAACAGTAATGATCGCCGATCTCTTTGCTCTACGGAGATGCTCTTGCATTGTGAGGTCGAAGTTGCCCATCAGTTCCACAACTCCCAGAAAGTTCCCGTTGTTACGAGTGTTTAGTCACTCCAAACCTCCTCGGAAAGCCAGATTTCCCTCTGATAGAATTTGTGTAATAGCCATAAATCTCTCCAAAACGTGTCTCCAATGTCTTTTTTCTTCTTAAAAAATCCGTAGGCCTTTTGCATCAAAAGTACACTGCAATTTCAATCTCAATTCTTCTTCTACCCACTTCCAGTACGCTACGAAGTGGTTTTGTGATGTTTCATGTGATGCTAGAGCAGATGATGTATGTACCCAATCGTTGCATCCGTTCTCTGCAAGGGCTGAACTGCAGGAACATCAAACAACTCGCAAGGAAAATAGGAGACACTATTAGTTGAAGTTGAATATACCAGCCAGCGTCTTCGTCGAGTATCTCCGTTGTCGAGCTTTCGTTGATAAAAGTGTGTCGAAAAGTGCCTAAACTTCTCGTCCTTTGGAAATTCCAAATGGTGTTTTTCTTCCGGGCCTTTCATCATTGCAAAGTCAATCGTAGCCTGTGTCCTTTTTGTAGGCCATGACAGAGGATTTGCAGCTCTGATGAGTTCAGTTGGCGTCACAGAACAACTGACCTGTTCGTTACTTTCCATTCCCTCACCGTTTTCCTCTAACCCAAGCTCCATCTCATCTTTGAAGTTATCTCCCTGATCAGTAAACGTTTGGGAGGGCTTCAAACTTCCCTGTTCCGCTTTGTCGTCGTTGCTTTCATTTTCTGTAGAGTTTATGGAGTTTGACATGTGAGAGGAAGAAATGCCCTGCAGACAACAAGATTTGTTGGTGTTTATATGGTAGGTGCGTCAATCTTGTCTATGACAGATGTGTCCAAGCTTGGCTCGCAACCTCATGTATGACAGATGTGTCAAAGCTTGGCTCACAACTTCATGTATGACAGATGTGTCAAAGCTTGATGTACCTACTCTAAAGTAAGATAACTATTCAAAATTTAATTGTGTAATTATCTTCTATTGAGGTTCATGCAAACTAATATTCTTTGATTTTGTGTAATAGGGGAAAACTAAGGTTGAGTTTATCACCACCAAGGGGGCGATAGCCGGAGAAGTTTGAGAACCACTGGGGTAAACTATTTGGACATGTGTTGTGCTGTTCGTCGTCGAAAATTGACTAGGACCATCGAGTCGTCAGGTGACCGATGACTTGTGCGGGTGACTTCTGTTTAAACCTCACTCTCTCGTCCGGGCCCACAATATCCAGTGGCAAGACTCTACGCCAAGACGACCAGGAATGGGTTCGGTTCCAGGAATCGTCATTGTATGCGCCTTACGGGACTCCAACTCCGGGTTTGAATTCAGAGTTTCTTTCTCTTAGATGAGTTGCCGACCAAGCTTAACGAGTCTCATCCAACCGGGGTGATTTTTTTCCTTAAATTGAACTCAAGACCACCAACTTGAGGTTTGTTCAGTTTAGACCATACGGCCACTCAGACGGACATACACACTTCAATCAAATAAGGATTTTAAATGCACTTGCTTTCAATAACGCCACCACTCACAGTTGGGATTAGTGATATCCTGTGCCAACTCCATCATTGAATTCCCTTATCACAAAGTATGGGCCTACTTCAGAAATAAACTATTATTTCATTATTTGATTGGAGACCCCCCCCCCTCTTTTTCAGATATAGGGATGGCCGGGGCACGCCCCTTTCCGCGTGGTGATGCGCAACATATTATGGTGAACGAACTTTGCGTACGCACCTACCACATAAACACCAACAAATCATGTTGTACGCACCTACCACATAAACATCAACAATTCTTGTTGTACGCACCTACCACATAAACATCAACAATTCTTGTTGTACGCACCTACCACATAAACACCAACAATTCTTGCTGTACACACCTACCACATAAACACCAACAATTCTTGCTGTACGCACCTACCACATAAACACCAACAAATCTTGCTGTACGCACCTACCACATAAACACCAACAAATCTTGCTGTACGCACCTACCACATAAACACCAACAAATCTTGCTGTACGCACCTACCACATAAACACCAACAAATCTTGCTGTACGCACCTACCACATAAACACCAACAAATCTTGCTGTACGCACCTACCACATAAACACCAACAAATCTTGCTGTACGCACCTACCACATAAACACCAACGAATCTTGCTGTACGCACCTACCACATAAACACCAAAAATTCTTGCTGTACGCACCTACCACATAAACACCAACAAATCTTGCTGTACGCACCTACCACATAAACACCAACGAATCTTGCTGTACGCACCTACCACATAAACACCAACAAATCTTATAAAATGTTTTCTAAAAAAAATGACTCTTCGAAAGATAAACATCTGGATTCATTTCTATTGATATACCGGTACACGGTTTTCCACCCAGTGAAACCAGTGAACTGTTTTAATTTTTTGAAGTACATACTCAATGTGTTGATTTCTGTAAAGATTAATGCCGTTTGCGTCTGTAAATGTAATGAGAAACTAGGTCAGCAGACCCCACTGTGATTGTAATGAGAAACTAGGTCAGCAGACCCCATTGTGATTGTAATGAGAAACTAGGTCAGCAGACCCCATTGTGATTGTAATGAGAAACTAGGTCAGCAGACTCAACTGTGATTGTAATGAGAAACTAGGTCAGCAGACTCCACTGTGATTGTAAAGAGAAACTAGGTCAGCAGATTCCCCTGTATTTGTAGTAAGAAACTAGGTCAGCAGACTCCATTGTAATTGTAAAGAGAAACTAGTTCAGCAGACTCCACACCCTAAGTCCTTATATCCTCATCAACTAACGGTCAGCTACCAAGTGGAGTCCAGTCAAGTATCTGAACAGATGGGATTAAACTACTGAATCTGTAGATAACTTGACTCAGAATGGTCTATGACAAAGTTGTCAAAGCTTGGCTCACAGCCTTGTGTATAACAGATGCGTCGAAGCTTGGCTCAGAACCTTGTGTATGACAGATGTGTCGAAGCTTGGCTCACGATCTTGTTTATAACAGATGTGTCGATGCTTGGCTCACAACCTTGTGTATGACAGATGTGTCGAAGCTTGGCTCACAATCTTGTGTATGACAGATGTGTCGAAGCTTGGCTCACAATCTTGTGTATGACTGATGTGTCGAAGCTTGGCTCACAACCTTTGTATGACAGATGTGTCGAAGTTTGGCTCACAACCTTGTGTATGACAGATGTGTCGAAGCTTGGCTCACAATCTTGTGTATGACAGATGTGTCGAA